ACAACCAACTGTCTCAGAATGCGACCTATTACGGTAGAAGTGACATGGTAATAAATTTACTTTGTTGACTTTATGTAAACAATTAAATGGTGAGGGTTAAATGGCGTGGGTTCTAATCTCATAAGGTGGGTGTGTGATTTTATTTTTTATTTTTATTTTTTTGTGAACAATTAATAATGCCTTGCTTAGTCTACGAAGGTTGAAACTGTCAAAACCTATTTATTTGTGCAGCTGTATAGACCCTTCAATTGATTCACGATGACCAAGGCCTCTGGTCTAATAAAATTTAGAGGGTTCCAGTCTTCCAAATGCCGCATGTGAGTTAATTATTAGCATACACAAAAATAAATAAATAAATAAAAATTAATTTGTCTTCAGGACTTGGTGACGGTGGTAAGGTAAATTACTGTGTTCTAATATTTTTTTATTCCGCATGTCAACACTTTCTTTATAACTTCTTATTTAACCGGTATTATCGTTATGAGATTGATTGCAGCACCTTCGATTTATAACTTAGGATTAATTCAAAAGTTTCTATCCAAAAGAATTCTAAATTCTAAATTCTAAAAATAAAAATAATAATAAAAAATTTGTTTCACAATGGAAATTATTTGGACTATTGTCCATCACTATCAGTTGTTGATTGCGGCATCAAATTGTGATCCTTCTAATATATTCTTAAGGCTTCGCTGGTTAGCGCGGAATAAAGGAATTTTTTTTTTTTTTTTTTTTTTTTTTTTTTTTAAGAGTTTGGTTAGATAGAGAAGGAAATTTTTATATGTTAGTTTTCTATTCTACCTAATTTAAAGGTACTGTTTAGGCGTTAAGTATCAGATCAAAACTGTATTTCAAATGAATGACACCCACAAAAAATCAAATACTTAATCATTTCTAAGCTTATAAATTAATATTGAGCAAGAGCAATAATCTACATATAACAATCCTCAGTTCATGATCATTGAACTTGAAACCACGACGAAAAACTAAAAATAATTATTAATTACATAATTAATAATTCATATTTTATTATTTATTTGCTAAAATAAACCATTAAATATAAAGAGTATTTATATAGCATAAATTTATTTATTTAGCTTACCTTTTAACCAAAAATAAAACAAAATAAAATAAATTTATTTATTTTATTAGTATTTGAAATCAAAAAGGTATTTTGGTGAGTAGAATTTTTTTTTTTTCTTTTCATTTTATTCAAACTAATAAAATAATATTTTTTCCCAATTTTTTAAAAAAAAATTCTTACTAACCAAACCAAACCCTAATAAAAAAGAGTAATAGTATGAGAATCTCACTAGAATTCTTTTTATTAATAGATATATTAAAATACTAATTTAAATTTTAATATATTCCCTCCGTTTCAATTTAATGTCTTCGTTGAGAATTGTGACTCACATTTTATCTTTTCTCACTACCTAGAATTTACTAGTATTTATTAACGGTTAAATTGAGAGAGATATTAAAATACTAATTTAAATCTTCATATATCTCAAAAACTGCTCTCTTCCTAATACATACAAAAGAGTTCTACGTTTAGCATTGAAATGTTTAAAATAAAAAAAAATAAAAAAATAAAGACAAGACTTTGGAGAAAGAAACCATTTTCTACTGATATTGGGTCCTAGGAATTGAAATCTATTGGCAATTCCAATCAAACTTTGACCAAATTTTCCTCCATATTTCGGTCCTCATGAAATGATTTACACATTCATCATTTTCTCAAACTTGTTTGGACTGTGGAATAATGTCCAAGAATGGATGCAGAAAATTTGGCCTGACTAATTAGAGTTTATTAGACTCAATAATGGCTTATTAGTTCGTATAGGGTATCAGAAATTGGGCTTGGGCCTTTACTATTGGTCGTATGTGTCCAAGCCCAATCATTTTCAAAGGTAATGTAGCAATGTGAAGATGATAAGAGTGAACGACCTTCCAGACCAACTCATCACAAAGTATGGTGTTTTGACATCTTCGTCCCTAAACCCCGAGACTCTCGGTGCAAAGCCAAAAGCGAATCCCAAGTACGAGTCCTAGCAATTATAAAAGTGAATAATGTTTGACTTATTTACTACTACATTTACCTTTAAAAAAAAAATTATATAGTGCTTAATAACTAATGTTAAATATCAATTTAATTCCATTCAACGTATTATTTATGTTGTTATTTAAATTTAAATTTTACTAAAAAAAAACTATATAAAAACTGAAAAGACACTTATTCTAAAATTAAAATCACCTACATTAACTTTAGATAACAAATAAAATACTGGAATATTCCCAAAATAATGAAAAGAGCCACCACAATTTTTTTTTTTCAAGTATTAAAAAAGCATATCTTTAGTTATTATTTAAATGTGAACTATGAAGTTATTTGATAGAGTTTATGTTATTTTCGTACTATTAAGTTATCAAAACGAAACTTGAAAAAAATTTGGTATTAATTGTCTAAACACTCGCTCACTCACCATACTTGCCCTCAAAAGAAGATATTCACCACCGTACCAAATAATAATTCAATTCAACATATTATTTATATTATTATTTGAGGTTGAAGGTAGTGAGTGAACAAATGACAATTACTAATTTTTATCATGATTTTTTCGGTAATACGTTGGTTCAAAAGTAACAGAAACTCTGTAAAAATTATATTGAAGAACTCCATGGTTCATTTTTTGATAATAACTAAATGTCAATGAATTATAAATTTGTTGAAAGGAATTTGATGTAAGAGGTGGCGTTGGTCTTTATGAACCGTGTGCTTGGACCTCTAGAAGTTCAAACAGAGGTAATTTTTGAGCAGTCGCGAGTGGTCCTGTTCCGAAAGCGGAGAACAAATCATCTTGTCTCCGGTTGTGATACAGGTGTTCTTCCATCAAATTTTCACATTTTTTAGTAAATCTAACTATTTGACTGTGTCAAACGAAACATGTTTCTGGATTTGAGAGACCAAAGTGTATGAACTAGTACGCCGTTATTGAGTCTAAACTATAATTTGTCAAAGTAAAATTTCTCTATCCATTCTTGAACATTTTTTCCATGGTCCAAAAAAGTTAAAATGACCAATGTGTAAATCATTGTATGACAAAATATGGTGTAAATTCTGGTCAAAGTTTGACTGGAAAAAAATTGCCAATAGAATTCAATTGCTTGGCACATCTCACTATATGCTACTAGTCCTGCGTAAAAATGGTTTCTTCCAGTCTGTTTTACCATTTCAATGCTAAATTAAAGATGAAAAACATTTCCCCAGAACATACAACTCTTTTATGTGTATTAAGAAGGAGAAAACATCTTTGCACCTTTAATTCTTCGATATCTGTATTATTAATCAATTATATCAGTTCGCATAAATAAAAACATTTTATTTTAATAAATCTTATCAATACGTGATAGTATATCACGTCACTAATACAACGGACGCAATTAAATTTTTTTCATTAAAAAGAGTGATCATACTCTCTCCATTTGAAAATCAAATCAGTATTTTAACCTCTCTCTCAATTCAATGGTATATAAAAAATGCTCATCAAGTCTTGTCGTGATTGATGATACCATTAGACATAGACGCATCAGAAATTGATGAAGCAATAAACAGCTACTAACAGCCAAAAATGTTGATGAAAATCAGTCAAAATAATTTCCATGGGGAATTAATTGAAGGGTCCAATATAGCTTGCTGCACGGATGGATGAATTTGACCATCAAGAACTCCCGTACACTAAGCATAGTTCGCTAGAGTAGGGTTTTTTTTTTTTATTTTTTTCTTAGGAAGGGCACTTTTACTGTGTTAGCTCGTGTTCTATATCTACGATTTTTACATGCATGTGTGAGTCTATATCAATGATTTTTGTGAACTAACCTCACAAACAGTCAATTCAAGATGGGAAACATTCTCCTCACAACATACAAATGCTTAATGTTGTATTAAGTACTCTCCCAAAATTTTATATCAAGAACAGAACTGATGATACGAACTCCAAAGTCGAACAACTCCAAGTGATATAATGTGAATCCTACTTGAAATGATTCCTAAAAATAAATACTCCATGACATAGAATCATCCCAATTTATTGCAGTCAACATTGGTGGTGAACATTAGTCTAAATAATTTCCATCCTGAATTAATTGGAGGGTCCATACAGCTGGACATAGGGATAGATTTGACCGTCAGGACTTGGATCTCCCATGGACTGTGCAGAGAGTAAGTTTAAGTTCACGTTTTCAACTGTTGAATTAATTATAGCTTAGAATAAGTTTATTATGCTTACGTTTTAAACCGTTGGATAAACGATAGCTTTTCTTAAGCCAACAACAACTGATAATTCATTGCTCTAATCTCCATCTATTTCTGTAATATTCCAAACACGTGTCCGAACAGAGTTTCATTGTTTTTCTTTTAGCTAGAGTTTGCAACCTGTATATATGTATGTATATGTGCGTCTATATGTATATATATATATATATATATATATATATATATATTGTATTCTATGATTTTTGCAAAGTAACATCACGACGGTCAATTTCAGAAATTGACCAGATTATGAAGAAAAGCCAAGTGTATGTACAACTTGAGATATGAATCTGATTTTGGGTTATAACTAGATTGAATTAGCACCCAGTCCAAATGCTGACAGACAAATTTTAAAACCCTAGAACCAGGTAAGACACATAAAGACTTTTCTTGGTCATGAACTAATAATAACAGGCTGTTAATTGTGAATTTTAAAATCTTTATTACACAACCAGCCAAACAGAACCCCAATTTTCAAATAATAGGACGAAGAAGATAGGTTGAAGACAATCAATCAACTACCAAGTAAACCTAATTCTATAAAAATAAAATTAAATAAATCAAAGTCTCCATTCATCTCCAACATCTATTCCAAAAGTCATTATCAGTCACAGGAAAACGACACATCTCATTAAATTAACGGAAAATGAAACCGTTCATTCGCATCTTTCACGGAATCATGGACTCCCCTCCCAGTCAAAAGTCTACGCTTTTCCTACTCAACGAAGCTCCTTCGAATTTTCTGCTCTCTCTCTCTATATATACATATATATATTTACACAAACAAACACACACAAAAATTGGGGAAGAAAAAACGTACCGGTCTTAGCTGAAGCATTGGCAATGGCTTTGAAAGTGCTTTCGGCTTTGGACAGTGCGAGAACGCAGTACTACCACTTCAAAGCGATAATAGTCGCCGGGATGGGATTGTTCACCGACGCGTACGACCTGTTCTGTATAATTCCGATCATGAAGCTGATCGGAAGGGTATACTACGAGGACGTCGACGTTGTGTCAAACCGGTACCAAGTTCCGGCCGTCGTTATATCGACGATGCTGGCGGTGGCTCTGCTCGGGACGGTGATCGGTCAACTGGTGTTCGGACGACTCGGTGATCGCATCGGAAGGAAGCGAGTGTACGGACTCGCATTGATGCTGATGGTGATGAGCTCTATTGGATGTGGATTCTCTATAGGCAGGTCGAAGACGTGTGTGCTGTTGAGTCTAGGGTTTTTTCGGTTTGTGCTGGGGATTGGGATCGGAGGGGATTATCCGCTGTCGGCGACGATCATGTCGGAGTTTGCGAACAAGAGGACACGTGGCGCGTTCATAGCTGCTGTTTTCTCGATGCAGGGGTTTGGGATACTGGCGGGTTCGACGGTCACGATGGTGGTTTGCGCCATCTTTGATCGCGCGTCGGACCCACATAAGGATCACACGCCGGGGGAGGCTGATATCGCGTGGCGGCTGATCTTGATGATCGGTGCTGTTCCGGCGGCTTTGACCTATTACTGGCGTATGATGATGCCGGAAACTGCCAGGTATTGTATTTTGTTGACTCCATTCGTCAATTTCTCTACGTCATCATCAGATGTGGTCGAATATTTCATACCTTAGCTGACTTTTCTTTTTTTTTTTTTTTTTTTTTTATGACAAAAAAAGTAGTCAGGCTTTTTGCGCCATTACCTAACAACATTTATTTGACATCATAATTTGATTATAATTTTTTTTTATTATTCTCCTACCTCGTCTCACCACTAATGTGTCGGCGCGTGTGAATTTTATATTTAAAATACCTAGTATATATATATATATATTTGATCATTTTTGTGTCATATCAAAAATAGGAGGAAAGTATTTATCTTTATTTATTATTGTGTATTAAGTTAAAATGTTTTAGATGGATGTTTTTTCCAAGCACAACTATAAAGTGGGATATTTTTTATTGGCACGCATATTTTTTGTCTTCCATCTTAATAAACTGTGAAATCTTATAAGTTAAAAGCATTCATGCGAATGGTTGGCTAGTGATTTTAGACTATTAATTCATGTGCAATTGGTATTAAGCATTTTACCTCCTAGTATTGCTAGTGGCCAAGTGACAAAAACTGTTCAATTCACTTTTAAAAAAATAAAGAAAGAAAAATCAACATAATTAAAACGTATTTCACTGCATCTGTTGAAATCTAGATTCCTAACTTGTGTTATAGTTCTTTCAGAATTTTCATTCTTATTTTGATGATGTTTATTGATGGATATATGACAGATACACAGCCTTGGTAGAGCAAAACCATCTACAAGCAGCCATGGACATGGAGAAAGTGCTAGACGTTTCAATGAGTCAGATAGCAGAGGACCAAGTAGAACCCCGCCCAAATCCACCATCTTACCCCATTCTCTCCAATGAATTCTTCCGCCGCCATGGCCGCGACCTCTTCGCTTGTGCCACCGCATGGTTTCTGGTCGACATTGTGTTCTACAGCAGCAACCTTTTTCAGTCTCAGATATACGACCACTATCTCCCTCCCAAGGACAAACTCAATGTCTACCAGGAAGCATATCATGTCGCCAGGCTTCAGGCCATCATCGCCATTTGCTCAACAATTCCGGGATACTTCGCCACCGTTTACTTCATCGACAGCATTGGGAGGGTCAAGATCCAAATCATGGGCTTCTTTTTCATGGCCATTGGCTTGTTTGCAATAGGAATACCTTATTATGCGTATTGGGCTAACCACACAAACATAGGCTTCATGTTCCTTTACGGCCTCACATTTTTCTTCTCAAATTTTGGACCTAACACAACCACCTTCATAGTTCCGGCGGAGCTTTTTCCGGCGAGGTTCAGAACGACATGCCATGGCATTTCTGGGGCTGCTGGGAAGGTTGGGGCCATCATTGGGTCAGTTGGGTTTTTGTGGGCTTCACATAATACGAGAAAGGATGGTTATCCCAAAGCCATTGGAATGACGGCTTCTTTGGTGATATTGGGTGGAGTTTGTATAGTGGGAATGATCACCACTTATTTTTTCACTCGTGAAACAATGGGGAGATCATTGGAGGAGAATGAGAACGAAGATGAGACCACTGAGCTTTGTTTCTTGAGGTGTTTTACCCATTCTTGCGTTCACCCACAATCTTCTGTTGCTGAAGTTGATGCCCCATGATTTATACTCACCCCGAAAAATGAAAAATGATACGGAGTACAATGATCTGACTGTTTTATGTGAATGAAATTAACATCATGATAGACTTCAATCGGGAGAGTTAATTCCACCAACATAAAATCAACAGTCAATGGACCGAACTCCGCCACGTTCTCTCTCTCACACACGTATATATCAATCCTTGAAGCAGGAATAGTTGATTAGTTCCCCTTCTCTTCTATTAATGTACAGGTTAGTGCCACTAGCTAGGTTTGTGCAAGTTTTGTAAATTTTTGGTGTCGAATCTGTAGTTGTTCGAAAACTTTTACCTTTTTTTCTTTTTCTTTTTTGTAAACTATTTTAGTAAGTAGTTGTTGTTCGAACTACGGAGTTCGATTAGCAAATTTTATGTTACCATTCTGTAAATTAAGGTTGAAAGAGTATCTATGGGTGGTGTATTGTAGCATTTATATATATATATATATATATGTAAGAGTGAAATGGATGAGCCTATTTATTTTCCTTGTCTCAGATTTTCTTTGTAAGTAAATGGATACTGTTACTCGGGTTGGTAAATGAGAACATCAAGTAGAGAATAAACGTCACGTATATTGTTAGTACTGTTTTAGCCTGTTTAGGCATATGTCAAATGATATCAAGAAGTGATACCTAAAATTGAAATATATAATATGATAATCATGTGTATTGACAAATATATAATATGATAATTATGTGGATTGTAGTGCATGATAAGTTATATTCTTTATCCATAAAAATTAAATAAGTGTATCATTATATTCTTTAAGGAAATATATATTTATTACTATTGTAGTTTGGTTTGGTATTTTTGGATCTCAAACAAATAATGGCACCGATGATTTTAAAATTAAATAATGATTTTCCAAAACCGGATACATTTATTGAATTATGTTTGTGAAAAATAATATCATCACAACACCATTAAAAATGATGATATCATCGTAATTTTATTCCTATTCTCCGATTGTCGGACTCTCTATTATTACTTTTTAAATTTTTTGAATTAGAATCAGGAGCAAATCATACAATTTAATATGATTTACCAATTTTAAATTCAGAAAGTATTTTATGCACGGTATTTATACATTTTTTAAAAGCAGCTACCTTATCTTTTTTTTTTTTTCTTTTTCTTTTTCTTTTTTTTTTCCCTGTACCTCACTTTTTACTCCAGTTTCTCTTTCACTAGATTGATCAAGTGAGGGGTAAAAAAGATATATGCATATAACTTACGTATAAATATACCTATTATTTAATGGATTGACTTTGACTTCGTGGGTCTCATTTGGTTGAAATTTGAATGTCCCAAAAGAAAGAACGAAAACTCTAACAAATAACAAGAACCCAGAAAACAACCCAGAATAGAAGAAGAATTACAGAAAAACAATACATATATAAATATATATATATATATATATATATATTATATTTGCTAATTTTGCTTGATTTTCTTGGCACATATTGTGTATATATAAGGAGAGAGAGAGAGAGGTGGAAATAGTTTATAGTGCAAAAATTAAAGTTGAATTGGATCTATTTTTGAGATAGGTGTATATTTAATCATAATAACTCATAATTATATAATTTGTTCTTCTTTATCAATTTGTTTGAGTAGCATGTTCTGTATATATATTTTAATTTTTGTAGAATTGTTTTCAAATTTAAAGTAAGGCTATTTTGCTTTTTAATTTCAGTCAAAAAATAAAGTTAAATGGTATAATAATATACTTTGTATAATATATTGTATAACGTATAGAGTAGTTGTTGTACATATGATAAAATAAAAGTAAATTTCTTTCTTTACTTGCTACTTGGTGCTAACAAAGCTGTGTTGAAGAGTTGACGTAATTAATCATCACCCTTAGATGCTCACCGGACGTCAACGTCAAATAAGAGAGTAACTAGAGATGATTTTTTCCGATTTTATAGAGTGGTGATCACTGATTCGCTATCACTTTATGGGTTTGAGGAAAGTTTGATTTCGAATTTCAAATCATTTTTTTTTATTTCACTTATTAAAAAAATTAGGTGTGAATATCACATGTCCAAATCATTTTTATTTTATTATTATTATTATATAAATGATTCTTAGGTCCATTACTTAAAGTGATTTGTTTGACCTATAAATTTTGATTGATTATGCATGTAAAATATAAGAGCATCTCCGATTCAATGCTAAAAGGGCTGTCATTTCTAAAATATAGCAAGGAGACTTCAAAAGGGGCTCTCCAATGGAATGCTAAAAGGGCTGCCAATTTTAAGTTTGCCAAATATTTTGCCAATTGTAGCACAAGAAATAGCTGCTGCTATTTCACATAGAGAGAGAGAGGCGGGGGTTCTCAGATTTGGCATATATATATATATATATATATATATTTTAAAAAGATCATAAAAAATTTCACCAAATAGGATTTAGTTTGCAAAACAAGAATTACAGACCTTAATTAAAAAAAGTAGACAAAAATCGAACCTCTTTCTCAATGGGTTTGGTGAAGAGTTTCTCGGCCTTTGATGTCAAGAAGGAAGAGAGCAGAGGTTGCCCCTGCCATGGATTAGTTGATTTAGAAAAAAATTACAAAGAATTACCGAGCTTGATTAGTTGATTTAGAAAAAAAATTAAATCAAAATCCATACATACAAGCTAGCAGTTGCAGAGAGAGAGAGGGGGGCAAGCTTGAGAGTTGAGAGCCAACAACTAAAGCTTGCGAACGGCAAACCTGAACTGAAACAGCGAGGGGGCAATTTCAGAGCTGATAACGAGAATAGAGATGGAGGCGATTGGGGAAGTTGAAATGATTTGCCCTATATATATATATATATATATATATATATATATATATAAGAAATAAAAAAAATTATATAATAATATAATCAAATATATAAATTTATATAATAATATAATCAAATATATAAATTTATACATACATATATATATATATATATATATATATATTTGGGTTCTTTTTGACCAGATATTTTAGATTTTTTATTCTTTTTAATTAAGTTTAATTTTAGTTTCTTTTTAATATTTACAACTTGACTTGGAATGTGCCTAATATTAAAATTACTGATGCAATTATGAATGGTGGGAATGGTAGTTGAAAAAGAATAGTGGTTGTGTCAAAAGATAGTTTTTTGCATAAAATGCATCATTGGAACAAAATTGATAAAATGTATCATTTTGACACTGTATCACTGTCAAAATAAAGATTTGCCACCTGAATTTGACATTTTAACATTGGAGATGTTCTAAAGGAGTGAGAGTGAGAGTGAGAGTGTGAGACCCTCCATTTTTTTTATACTCCATGTTTGATAAAGATTACTGATCAACTGTAAGTGGAGCAACACTTTGATACATCAGTCCAAGTAACACTATTATTTCTTTTTATCGTTATAAAATATTTTGCCTCATTTAAAAAGTCAAAGCAAAATAAATACAATTTTTTTTATAATTATTCTTCTCGATTTCAAAAATCTCTAAATTTAATAATATATATAAGTTAAACTTAAATTAAAAACTTAGACAATTTTAATATGAGACAATACATTAATTGAGTATAACCTTAAAAAGTTATAAGAATAATGTTCCTAAGAGGAACATTTCATAAAAAGAATAATGAGTTCTCCTTATTTAATAATTAGATTAAATAATTTTTTTTAAACTCGTAAAAATTTAAATCAATTATTTAATGTATTTAAATTAAAAAATAAGAAAACTCAGGACTCTTCCTATGAAATGGAGAGTATTACTCAATCAAAAAATCTAAAATATTTAATAATATATATTTTAAACTTAAAAGACAATAATACAATAATTGAAGGTCTCCTTAAGAAGTTACTCGGTATAATACTAAAATTTTCAAAATGAGATTACCTTTCTAGAAAAGGAAAAATAAAATAAAAATCGAATACAAATTGGACCACTTTTACGAAGTATAAAATTTGTCTAGTCTCTGTGGGAAGGTACTGAGTTGGTTCCCATAAATTTCGTGGGACGGAGGGAACGATTGTTTGTTTGTGCGGGAAGGAAGGGAAGGGAAGGGAATCGGAGAGAGGGAAGAGGATGCATTTGAGCGAGAACGAGGGAATAGAAGGCAACACCTTCGTGGTCACCGGAGGTCTCGGCTTCGTAGGCTCTGCTCTCTGTTTCGAGCTCGCAAGAAGAGGAGCTCGTCAGGTTCGGGCCTTTGACCTCCGAACTACCTCTCCATGGTCCCACCCTCTCCACACTCATGGCGTAAACTGCATACAAGGTACTAAATCTTCACTCTCCTTTCTCTCTCTAACCATCAGACTTCAGTTAAAACCTAGATATTCGATCTGTTTGTTTTTTCAATCTTTCGAAAATGATTTGTTTTCTTCTTCAAATCAATTAGGGCAAATGAACTGAAATATACTTGAACATTTCTGATCGAATGGCTTCATTCATTAATTAATCAATTTTATGCATTTGGTTGCTTCCGAATATATGATGATCTCATTTTAGTTAAAATGCAATAATAACATTATGTACATTCTATTGAAAGTTGTTTTATTATTGCCTCTGGTAAATTATCTGAATCTGTTACCGCAGGAATTTTGAGCTGTGTATACATTTGTTTGACTGTTGAATTAGGGTAAAGGAACTGAAATATACTTGGAGATTGTTGGTCGAATGACTTCAATTATCAACCAATTTTATGCATATTCTGGAATATCCATCCAATCGGGAAGTCACTAACCTCTTGTAACGCATTTTGTTGGTTCCGAAAATATGATAATCTCATCTTAATCATGGAAATTGTGGTATTAATGGCGCTGGTAAATTATCTGAATCTGTTAATGCAGGAATTTTGAGCTGTATGCCTGTATTTCCGATTCCGATACAATACATTTGTTTCAGTTGTAGCACATCTCATGTTTCTATTTAACTATAATGTATGAACCAATTACATTTGATGACAACAATTTTTTACTTTTTTGTTTTGTTTTTTTCTTTTCTTCTTTTTATTTTTCTTTTTCCAATTATGTGTATTTTTGTGCAAGAACACCTCTAAAGCTAATGGTTAAGTTTCCACTTGCCCATTCTATTGTCTAAACTGAGAATGAAGCTGTAGTTGTGTAGTTTGAATAGTTTCTCAATTATGATTTTTCACGATTCATAATCTGAATATACCTTAATACATTAAATGTATTGCATATATGTGATCGTGCTGTTATTAACTGCCATGGAGACTTATCTTGCTGCGACTCACTTGGCTAAATTCTTATACTTACAGGGGATGTCAACAACAAAAAAAATGTTGAAAGAGCTTTACGTGGTGCAGATTGTGTTTTCCATCTTGCTTCCTATGGCATGTCCGGGAAAGAAATGCTCCAATATGGCCGTGTCGATGAGGTGAACATAAATGGAACCTGCCATGTCTTGGATGCTTGCCTTGAGCATGGGATCAAGAGGCTTGTCTATGTCAGCACATACAATGTTGTCTTTGGGGGAAAGGAGATCATCAATGGCAATGAAACCTTACCTTATTTCCCTTTGGATGACCATGTTGATCCATATGGCCGCAGCAAATCTATAGCTGAACAGCTTGTTCTAAAAAATAATGGCCGTCCTTTCAAGTAAGTTTATAGGTCTGTCTTTTTGGATGTCTTGTGTTATGGGTGTAATTCTTAGTTCTATACTTTGGTTATTGATATAACTCCGCTCTTACAAATCGTAAACGGTCCAAACCTTTTGTTCACAAGAGAAGAAAAGGGGAAAAAAGGAGAGAAGAGAAGGAGGGGTGTAACAAGAGACTTCCATGCCTCTCATATACAATAGGAGATATAGATGGACAGATAAGAGAAGGGAAGAGAACAGTGTGCTGATTACCAGCCCCACAAGATCCCCCACCCGAAAAAAATAAAAAAAACACCAAAGATGGGAGGGGAGGGAGTTACCTTCTAAAATTGACCCTTCTCAACATAGTAATAATCTAAGACCTAAGTATTATTTTTAAATCCCCAAAAATAAAAATAAAAAGAAAATGCCACAAATATTATCAGAAAAAGACTCCTAACCCTAACATATATGATATATATACAGCAATTTTATTTTCTCTGGTCCTATGTCACTATTCGCTTCAAGGATTATATCTATATGGTAGAGTCCAATGTAATCAAAAGGCATACCGTGGTGCATCGGTTCTGAATAGTTTGGTGTTCCAACTTTAAAACTGATATGTATACAGCATATGGGTTTATACACATGAGGGCGGGGTCCTATCACAATGGTAAGGTTGCTCCATTGTGACCGAGTGGTTCCAGATTCAAAACAAGAAACTACCTTTCTACATATAGAATTAAGGTTGTGTACATAAAAGCCTTCCCAGACCCCGTGGTAGGAACCTCGTGCACTGGTCTGTCCTTTTATATTAGTTGATATGGATCAACTAATATGAATGTAAAATATTTTGTATAATATATTCTCCTACTAGCATGACTGCAAGTAACATAAGACAAAATTTTAATACTTCAAACAGCTTCAAATTATATACATAATAAGTTGTGATGAATCTTAAAAAACCTTAAATGAAAATGTGAAAACAATACTTCAAAAGTGGCGTAGTGATTCAGCTTTGGTGATGAGTAGTGTCGCAATACCTCTGCTGGACCTTGGAGGCGCTCTTGTTGGTTTAAAAAAGTCATTAACCTTTCTCATGAGTTATTGGGTTCTCTTCTCCCCATCAGCTGATGCAAATGTTGACAATTTGAGTAGAGAGTAGGCATGGGTCACTATAAGTATAATGGCATGGTTTTTTGTGGCATATATTTGACAATTGAGTGTTGAGAACTTACCTTGGTTGGTACATTGCTTTATTCTTATTTGTTATTGAGTAGCTCGTCTTTTTTTTGTGCATTCTCACTTTTCATAAATGTGTCTCTTATGCAAGAATAATTAGAGAAATTCAATATGCAGCCATAAAAAGATTTTCTGCTTAAAGGTCGCATTGAATATCATGACTCATGAGCCGCGTTCTGTATAAAATTATACAATAGGTTTCGGATCTGCAGTGATGGCAGTTCTGATTCTCTGAAGCCTTGTTCAGAATTTGTAGACTTCTCTCATTTCCTTTTTTCGGTTTGGAAGAGGTTGTACCCTTGTGTATAATGAATGGTTATGTTTCTCTCTGACCAAGTAAATTAGTAATTGTTTTCTGCTGGCTGGTAATACATATGCCAAGTGCACTCTCTCTCTGTCTCTCTGTCCGAGACAAGCACACAGGTCTTAGAACTATCTGTCTGCTCTTTCCTTTCTATATTGCTAATGGTGCTCACCTTCTGCTTTGTATTTTTACTAATCAAATAGTGTTTTACATACATATATGTAGATGGAGAGAAAGCCTATCTACAGAACAACTTTTCTTTTTTATCTTTTTTTCTTTCTTTTTTTTTGTGACTTTAGGAACTCGTCTAGTTTATAAGACCATGATTTGTATAGGATGTTTCTGTGTTATGTAGAAAGAAGAATGGGAAATGTCTCTATACCTGTGCAGTCCGTCCAGCAGCGATCTATGGACCTGGTGAAGAGAGGCACCTCCCTAGGATCATATATCTTGCGAAGTTAGGTCTGATGCCATTCAAAATTGGTGAAGCAAATGTGAGGAATGACTGGGTTTACGTGGATAACCTTGTTCTGGCCCTAATATTGGCTAGCATGGGACTTTTGGATGACATTCCTGGGAACAAAGGACATCCGATTGCTGCTGGTCAACCATACTTCATCTCAGATGGTAACATTCATCCATTGCTTAGAAATTTTTATATTTCTTCTTGTGGGATCTAGAAGTGTAAAGAAATAAATATCGAATCTTTGATTCTCTGGGACTACTTAAAAGCAAATGAAATTCCGACTGGAGGGATAATCTATACCTCTTTTTAAGATCTAATTGTTTGCCAAAAGCAATACATTATCGTCTGACTTAATGATTACTCTCCCATTTACAGGGTCTCCAGTCAACAGTTTTGAATTCATCCGCCCACTGCTCAGAAGCCTGGAATATGACCTGCCAAAGGCGTCCTTAGCTGTGCCTCATGCTCTTTTTCTGGGTAGAATTTTCTGGGCTGTTTACACCGTCTTATATCCATGGTTGAGTCGATGGTGGCTTCCTCAACCACTGATCCTTCCTGCAGAAGTATACAAGGTGTATTTTCATATTTCCTTGGTCTACTAGTTAAATATAATACATTGGTTTCTTAGTGCACCTTAAAATTTATCTGGAAAGAAACCAAAAGGGAAAGGGTTTAATAATATAAGAAAAATCTTGGTCAGCTAAAAAAAAAACACAATCAGACTTATAGTTTGCGTAAATGTGGTCCCATATAATTCTATCCCTCCTTTTTGTTCCCTTGTGAGGAAGATCATGCCTGAGACCAGAAGGCTTCAGAATCATTTCCTACTTAGATCTTAGGTTGGATTATCTTCTTTTAATTCTTTTATCTTGACAGGTTGGTGTTACACATTACTTCTCTTTCCTAAAAGCAAAGGAGGAGCTTGGCTACGTCCCAATGGTGAGTCCTCGAGAGGGCATGGCTTCAACTATATCATACTGGCAGGAGAAGAAAAGGAGAAGTCTTGATGGTCCTACAATATATGCGTGGCTGTTTTGTGTAATTGGAATGACTTTACTATTCGGTGCTGCATACTTGCCAGATTTCAGACCCATGCCGCTGGTGAGAGCAATCGCTCTTTTCTTCTTCCGGTCAGTGGGGGCAATAAAGCTAGTCTTCTGTTTGGCTGTTGCAGCTCATATTGGGGAAGCCATATATGCATGGAACCTGGCAAAAAAGGTGGATCTTGCAAATTCAAGAGGCTGGTTTTGGCAGACTCTTATTCTAGGCATGTTTTCATTGCGCTGTCTGTTGAAGAGAGCCAGGAAGTAAGTTGGAAATCTTTTTGTGTGATTTACTCTATAGTGTATGTACAACTGTATCATAGCAGTTCTCTTGCGGGGAATAAAATAGAATTTGGATAAAAGTATTGTCCAAAAATGTCATGAGAAAGTAATTGTATTTTGTGAAGAATCAGTTTATGGCATGGCCATATAAGAGGCTGAGATAATGTGAAATCACCTGTTTTGGAAAGCATTGTTAGATTTCTCTGCTACAAATTGAAAGCCAAGGATTTCAATTTGGTCTCTAGATGGCTTTAGTTCAAAGATTGGGTCCCCAAGAAATAATTGAATGGTGTCTGCATTGTTTATCGATCCAACTGCCAACGTTCTCACATAAAAAACGGAGTTTTGAGTTTAGTGTTCTTGACAGATGAACTAGTGTGTTTTTTAGTATAGATTTATGTTCTAAATCAACGCTGGCGTGTGTAGCGGGGTGAGCCACACCCAGAAAAGAAAGACGAGAATCCGTTTCTGGAAAATAAGCTTTGATCTCTTTTAATAGAATGCCCTAGTGTAAATACAAGCTGCATATTTGATTTCTGGGAATGGTTCTGAGGAGCATTTTGGCCAGCCCTGTGACTCGTAATTCAATGGTTGCAAGCTAAACCGAAGCCATTTCCAGGAGCCTGGAATCAAAAGCTTGAGCTGGTAGGGTGCGTCATCAAAGGAAGTCGACTCCCCTTGATCTGGACAGATTACTTATCTAATCGCAAGCCAATTGACGTCACCATTCAACGTAAAAACAAGCACATGCAACTTATAAAACTAGCAGAATGAATTTCAAAATGAGAACTGTGCAGAATGAAGCAAGGGGTTGATGTTCCATTGTTAACTCAGTTTAACATGAAAATTGAAACATTTATACTTGCCAAATCATCATCCTCGCATTACTTGATTTATGGTGTCCACTGCATTATACATGGAAGACTACAGTGGTAGGTAAAAGTGCAAGTGTCACTGAACTTCTGCCCAACAACTCTATTAAATTGGACCACTTTGATGCAATTTCTGCAATTGTCTTTATTTATTTATGCTCCTTTCAATACTTTCAGTTCAATATTTCTATTAAGATTAATTAATTCAAGTTATCAATTAAGTCCTGGACTTTTCCATTCTTTTACTTTCATCACTTGCCTTTCAATACTTTCATTTTGGTCCACCAAGTCCAATGGGTCTCGCAGAACCCATTTACTGCAAGTTCCAAGGTGAATTCAGTGACCCAATCAGGTCCAATGGGGGTTGCCAAAATTTGGGTTGCGGAATGGGTCGCCAAATCCAGCGACCCAGCTGGCGATTACGGGTCTGTATATGCAGGCCGGCAAGCTAATTTTTATTTTTTTTTTTTAAAAAAAGGCCCAAAACACTGTTGCTGATGTAAGCCCCAAAAAAAAATACTGTAGTTTTTTCCTTAAAATTGTTTTTTTTTTTTTTTTTACTGTTCTTTTCACTTCTAAAAGTACATCAACCCATAATGGATACTCTATTATATTGTTTAATTTTTTAAAAAAAATTTAATTTATCAATTTGAATGTTTTGAAAATATATCCGTTTGGTTGAAGAATTAAGGTGATTTACCCTTAGCGCTCAAGCGGATTCATTGGTAGAACGGCAGGCACAGTAAATTTATTTACAAACGGATAGATTTGCAAATTTTTTATTTACCAAACTGATATTTTTGCCAAAAAAAAAAAAAAAGTACCAATTTGAATGTAGACCGGCACACAGTAATAAATACTAAATCGACCTCTTTTTTATAAATCAAGTTAATGACTTTCAAATAATTCCCGAGATTCGGAACTACCTGTTTTTAGAGATCAAGTTATTGAATAATTCCCGAAATTCGAAACTACCTGTTTTCAGAGATCACGTTGGCAATGTTGTTTAACTCAGAAACCATGTCGCTTGTTATTTATTTTGGAACTTTTCTCACTTCTTTTGTAGGTTGGAAACCATTGTTTGATTCGTCTGCTAGAAATAGTAAAAGCCAAAAATTTCAATTTGATCTCTAGATGGATTTAGGTCAAGAAATAATTGAATTGTGTCTGCATTGGTATAGTCCAGGCGGCTTTTTTTTTCCCGACCGAAATATGTATTCTTAATGGATTTTGACTTGTAGTGTGCTTGATGGATGAACAAGTTTTTTTAGTATAGTTGATATCAGCCTCGCATTTTGCTCTTGGATTCATCAGTTTGTATCTTCCCAAGCTCACTGTAGATTTTCAACTCATATTTCCAAGTAGGGATCATTGCTTGATGAAAATAGATGAGTAGGTTAAGGCCTTTATGATGTTCTGATTCCACAGATTTTTTTTGTAGGTAAGCCACATCCAGAAAACAAGTATGAGAATTCTTCTGGAAAATAAAGCTTTGATTTCTTGAATACAATTTCAAGGTAAACACAAGCTGCATATTTGATTTCTTGGAATGGGTTTGAGGAGCATTTTAGCCAGCTGGTTGGCCCCGTTCAGCACCTTGCCTTCTAGCTCATTTGCGCGGGCTTTCACGGCCAGTTTAGTTCAAGGAGCCTGGAATCAAGCTTGAGCAGTAGCATTGCATCACTGAAGATTGTGCAAAACCTTGCCAACAAACCGTCCAAGGAACGTGTCTCCCCTTCAATCTGACCATATTGCTCATCTAATCTCGCAAGCATATTGACATCACCATTTAACAAAAATTTGTACAAAACCACCGGAATGAATTGCAAAATGAGAACCATGCATAATGAAGCAGAGGTTATCGCTTGGATTCTCCACTCCCTACCCTCCACTGGGCCAAACCCATGGGATCTTTTTAGACCAACTCATTACACGTTTGCTGACGTGCAAACCCGGAGAACTATCTCATAGGGTGAAGGCTGATAATAACATCCTTGTTACAGAATGGAAAACTTAAAACCTACCAGAATACGGGGGTTAAAATCAAATTGGAGGTCATAATACAATGATCACGGAGAATCGTAGAGAATAATTCAATACTGAGATACGAGCAACAACAGACGTTACAGACTACAACAGCCACAAGAAGGGCAAACTAGATAACAACTGTGTTACAAGACATCCTACAAGTACAATGCTAATTTTTAATGTTCGACACACAAGGGGTGATGGGCACCTGTCACTACTGCAAGGTTGGCTATTTCCAGCAACACTAAGGCCAAGCTGGAAAGTCGCCTGTGGTCCTTATTCTGCACAGCTAAAGTTACACAGAGGGCTTAAATTACAAATGGTAAATATTCAAGGCTTGAAGAAATTAGCTAATAAACAACAGGCGCCCATGCCTCCAGAAATTAGTGAGAATATCAAGCCGCAAAAGGATCACTTCCATGGCATACTCGACATGCCTTGGGGGTTACTGTTATTGCAGGTTCCCGTGCTCTGGTTGAGTGGGCTACTGGGCCCACCAGAGGATTCACTGAGTCTCCCACGTGAAGATGGGCTGCTAGCACCACCACCTGGGATGAGCTTTGATGGAGCAGATAAGGGATCAATTTGGTTTATTGGCTTTGATTCCTTGCGACCATCTGCAATGAAACTGCCAACAATTACCTGCAACAGAAAAGGAAGATATATAATGCCTGCATTGTAATAGAACCAATTCACAAAAATGTGATAGCCATTTAGCAGTGCTATCGGAACATATCAACAACAAAGAGGTAAACATCACAATTTAAAGTCAAGTCATTTGCCATCCTGTTCTATATGACATCAATCAAACGCGTTTCCGAACGATTTGTGAATCTGAATGTTAACCAACATAAGCCGACCAGAGCTTCTGGTTTCTCAAAAGCCACCGCTAATATTTTTCTCATATAAACCGACAAAATCCCCTTTCTATTAAAAAAAAAAGAAATCTGTTATCTTGACAAAAATAGGAACTAATTCACAATAGAATGTAATGTACTAAAATGCATAAACCTCAAATTAGCAAGGTAATAAATACCGAAAAGGATTTGAGGCATCTCTGGTAACTTAAATAGAAAGAGTCAAACTGGTAGTTGTATGATACTGCATAGAAGAATTGACATTTAAAAACTATTTGTGTTTTAGCAACCAAAACAAACAGGCCATTCTTCTAAACAATCGAATGACAAACAGTCAATCTGATGTATGATGCAATAAAATATGCTTCAATGGTACAACATCATCCCTCAAATGCAAGCAGTCAAGGAATAAAAATAACACTAAAGTGTGCTGACTGCTGATCAGTCATATACCAACATTTAGCATCTAGATAAATATGTCACTGCAATCGTTGTGCTTGATGGTAGATCAACGATAGGTTAGTAGGAAGACTTCAAAATAAAACCGAGCAGATAAAGAAGAGAAGAATGATAAATAAGAGAATCTGACCACAGCCCAGCCACAACCAAGAATATAGCATGAGCTCTCTACTAAATCAAATTCAATAAACGTAAGCAATCAGGTACAGCACATCAGCTACTCAAAGTTTGAATAAGCAAATTCGAAATAGTTGCAAGTTTTGGTTAACCCTTTGACCGATGCTGACGTATTCAAAAATTTTGTAAGAAAATAAATTTAAAACCAAGAAACCAATTTTATTTATATACTGTGAAAAATTGATCGCAAACCAAACCAACCTGAACAGGGGATGCTGCAGTTAGAAGACCTGCCACACAACCACCTAAAACACGTCCATCTGGTCCAGCTAATGAGACACTTAATCCCCCTGTTCTGCTCCGCTGACCACCAACCTCCGATAGCAGAAATGAACCAGAAAGTGACAGAATATCAAACCGACCCTGCATAAGGGAAGTCAAGTAAAATCATATTCCACCTCTACATGTACACAAAAATTATAGTAAAATGTCTCAAGAATAATAAATGATGACAGATGGGCCATGCAAGCCTGATACAAAATGATGACATTTATATAATATATATATATATATATGATACAAAAATCAAACATTAGAAGTATGCCACAACAGGTATCAAACACCAGAACACAACAGGTGTCAAACACCAGAACAAATAAATCAGTTATCATAGCAAATGGTAAAGTAGACTCACCTAATAATGGAACAAATGAATAGAGAAACAATAAATAACAATTGCCTGCTAGTTCTAGAATCAGCTATTGTTTCTATTTGCATGTGTTAGCCCATCAAGTTGGATTTTTTCAACAAAAAAGCAATGGCAACAGCCAACAGATAATAAAACATTTGTGATTCAGCAATATCTTCCTTCAGTAACCACTTGAACATGGGGTATTAATTTTTGGAACTTGTAGCACAACATAGTCAACATATTCAAGATCCAATGCGCTTTAATTGCAAGGCAGAGGTACAAAAGTGATTAATAATAAGACAAACCTCATATGTCGCAGTTCCACCAGATGTTGCAGCTTGGCGGAGGGTCACATTAGATATGGCACCATTTGCAGATAAGATGCAAACAGCCCTTGGACCATGCTGAGAGAAGGACATTATTTTTGACGATACATCCTAAAAGTCAAAATAATTGAAAAACTAATTATGTTTCATTGTTAACTCAATTTAACATGAAAATTGAAACATTTATGGGAACATGAGCAGCAGAATAAGAACCCAAATGAAGAAAGGATTCCAATATAACTAAAGGAATATGATATTACAAATTAAAGTATGCACCGTCTGGTTGGTTCATCAGAACCTATATAACACAAAAACTTGGTTATACTTGCCAAATAATCATCCTCGCATTACTTGATTTATCACTACAATATACATCGAAGACTATAGTAGGTAAAAGTGCAAGTGTCATGAAACTTTGCCCAAGCTCAATGCCAATGAAAACTACATCCACAAAGAAGATCAACTCTAGAAATAAAGGATATTAAAACAAGATGAATTCTTAAATAAAAGCAATAAAATCTATCATTAAACCAAACAAAAGATCCGCAGAATCGATCTAAATAGAGAGTACCAAACCAGCAAACCTAAAACCAACTTCAGTTGGATACAATAATCAATACCCAATAGTGAAAATCCAGAAAGAAATGTGTATGACACAATACACGAACTCCACTAGAACATAGAGATTGTAGGATACGCAAACTCCACTAGAATAGAGAGATTATAATAAATAAAAACTTTAAGACCACCAAGAAGGTATCCCCATAAACCCAAGTGAAAGATAACCAAATCCCAAGCCCTGTTTTTGCAAAAGTAATGATACCCAAAGGTAAATACAAACAAGATATGCATAACTTTTAGCTACTTGAAGAATCCAAAGTCAAGTAGAAGATTACTCCAGAATTCTCTAACCAAGACTTGCTCCAACGAGGGAAGATCTAGGAAGAAAATAACTCCAAATTTCTCTAACAAAAAAGTGTTCACCATAAGGAATGACCCCTCGTTAACTCAAATCCATATAGGACCGAGTCCTAGGACAAGAAATAAAGAATTTGTCAATTTTTCCTTCTCCCACAAGAAAACTCTAAATAACGAACTCCGCCAAAACTAGAAATTTGAAATGAAAACTCCATAACAAATATACCAAGACATTTTTTACATTTTGTAGGCAATAAAATTATTAGAATAATTTATTATAACAAGAAGTTAGAATAAGGGAAAGTTAACTAAATAATTTATAACTCACCCCAATGCTTGTTACATCAAGGAATGTGATCAATCAGAATTAATCATTTTTCTTTTACAAGAATTAAACTTAAAATCAATTAGAAAACTTGACGTGAGGGCCACGACAACAATCATACTGTACATCCTCCACACACAATTTGATTGGATGACCTAATCATCAATTAAGATTAGACCAAATATCGTTGGACTTTTAGTTATAGTTGTCTTAATATAGACCAAGTTAATTTGCAATCATCATATTTAATAGTAATCTTAGAAAATATTACACTGTTGCAAAGCAATTTCTCCCCATAATAGTGGTATTTATATTTAAAGTTTGCAAGTTCATAATACAACATGAACAAAATTACACAATGCTATGTGTGTGTTAGGCTATAAATATGTCCTGCTCATTATTTTTTTTTTCCCCCATATCCATTGGTTTACAAGGTCATCCTGACACCCCGCAAGTGGTAGACACGTGATTTTTCCCTTGGAGTTCAGAAGATTATATTAAAAGAAAGGAAAGAGTAAATAATTTTTCAATACAAAAGAAAATTTTTATAAAAAAAAAAATTTATGGATATTAGACTAACTTCTTTATATCAGACGTTGTACATTAAAGAATTAACTATTACAAAATTATTATTTTTATAATCAGTCGGATGACAATAAAAATAATAATAGTAGTAAGAACTTTTTTTTGTTATGACTTTCATTAAAGAAGCGCCCAAGAAACAAAGTACACAAAAAATAATAGCTATACTTTCAAGCTATCTAATAGTAAGAACACTAAAACCGAGGAAAGGACTAAGGATTTTATTATAATCATACGATATATATTATCGACAATGACGATACTGATGAGTTTTTTTATTATTATTATTAAGGAAGAAGAAAACTCTAGCCAAATTGCTGATATTGGGAGTAGGAAACCAATTGGTTCAATCTGGGAATAAGGTTGGGATGGAATAACAGAAAATTGAAAAGATCATGAGGCAAAGAATAATACAACAGGACCAAGATGCAGTAAAGGGAAAACAATTGTGAGTCCGCAAAAAGATATCTGAACATGGGATTGATAAAGCAAAATTAATATGGGTCAGGATTTTTTTTTTTTTTTTTTTTCTTTTGGGGGGGGGGGACACTTCAAACAAAAAACAAAAATATACAGGCGTAGTGCCTCTACATGCCCGCTTCTGCACCCAGAGGCTAAGAATACCCACAAGTATTTACCCTCAATGAAAATCACTATATCGTTCCAGCGTACAAAATCAAGAATGAGACAAGGGGCATATGTTGCATACACATCTACATTAGGAGAAGCACTATATTCAATTTCCAGCACAACAGTCTTCATCACAAAACCAGCATATATTGAGATATTGTACCAATTTGGTCACTTTTTAAAAATATTATGATATGATTACTTGAAATTTTCAATAGAAGATAAAAAGTTTACTAAGCCATTTTGAAAATACCAATGACGACAACAACAATAACAAAAAGAGTATCAAACGAATATATTGGGTGCCTCTCTGAAAATGTATCTTTCAAGCAACCAACCCGTTCCATAAGATGGGTCGAATAAAATCACCTCCATGACCATATGAATTTTATCAAACACGTAATTTCAGTTCAACACTCATAAGTGCTCAACTGAACTCAGACCTTTTTCCAAACTATTAGGGATTGGCTACCTGAATCCTAATTCTTCATTCTGCTCTAAGGCCATAATCCCAATCATACCACGTGGTATTATATTTTCCCTTACTATGATAGTTTGGTGTCCACCCCTTTCTCTAGCATTTCCATTTAAAATTCTGAAGCCCTCTAAAGTAAAATGACCACAAGAAGCTCTACATAATCAACACCCTGGTGTAATGTCTATGAAGCCCATGAAAGGCCCTAAAGGAGCCTTTCTCACCTACACCAATTGCATCAACTAGATTCTGCCAACTCAGACATCTAGTACTGCATGCCTCCTTTTTCTCTCTCTCTGTTCTCTCTCCTCTAGCTACAGCACTACTGTCAAGTGTCATCCGGCCACCACTGGACTACGCACCAGCAAAATTCCCACTATCACAAGCCCAACATCATAGTCTATTGCTGTTATTTCTTCCTCATTGTTTATATATACATCTATATAAACCCAAACATATACACATATATATCATCTCTTATTCTTCGAAGTCTATATACCATAGTTATATAATTGTGGTTTCTTATATCAGTAGTTTTTGTTAGCATGTGAAGATTTCTTCGCTAACGTTTAGTGGAGCTTCACTTTGAATGTTCTCTGGTAATTTCTTTCATTTGTTATGGTGGAGGAGAGATGGTGTGAAGGGATTAGGTCTGACAGAGACTTTTGAGCAAGGGATGCAGATGATAAAGATGGTAATATATAAGGAAAGGAGGAGACAAGTGAAGGTGGTTTGAAAGAGAGAGAGAGACTTGTGAGCAAGGGATGCAGAAGGGGGTTAGCATTTCTTTTGTGAATAATTGAGCCTAAATAAAGAAAATGTTCATACACATCAAATAGTCAAAAAGGTATATACATAAGATATGCATATGCAAACACACCAATAAGTTACTTTTACTCACTTAAATTTTATTTTTATTTTCTTTTTTCAACATGGAAGAAGAACCAAATGACAATACTTGTAAAACGTCCATAAATTTCAAAAAGTAAACTAACTAATTTCGACCCAAAAATTACAATTTTAATAATGATACAAATATTTCACCACTAGTGTTTCATCATGGTGAGACTTCTTTCATTTTAAAGAAGTCTAAAAATTCTATGTATTAGTAGCTGTTTTTTATTTTTTTTCACAACAGGATACTCGAGAAAACAGAACTTTTTCCCTACTGGGAACTTCTTAACTGCACTACTCTAAAGAACATAGGAATGCATATGGACCAACTCATGAAACCCATCTGATATACTTACATCTGACAGCACCTTTCTCTTAACCTTAATCAATCTAATGGATGGTAACACGAGCCACTTGAAATGGTATGATAAAAAAGTAACTGCAGGGTGCAGACTGCAGACTACTCATCAGGAATCCACACAAGAAAGCAGTTGCACAAGTGTACAACTTAAACATATGCACAGAGATCAAAAAGATGCACTAAAATTAAAAACACACACCATAAATAAAATATTTTAGTCATATAAATTTGGCTAATGAAGTTTATTTCAAAGATAAAAACAGATAGTATATTAGATTTGAAGATAAAAACAAATATTTGACTACTGAAGTTTATTTCACACAAAAACGTCTCAATTGTAGAAAAAATCAATAGTATATTAGATTAATAGATGCTCTTTTTATAAAAAATAAAAATAAAATAAATAAATAAATAAATAAAAAAAATCATAAATTTCTAAAAGCCTATAAGTTAATTAGTCATGTTTTTGGCATCAGCAAATCCATAGCAAATGCATTTATCAACATTGTATACTTCTTAATTAGGTGAAGCAACTGAGTTTTTATAATCACCAAATTAGATTCCCTATAACTTATAAAAAAAAAAATTAATAAAAATAAAATAAAAAAAAGACAGATTTCCTATGTTATAATTAACCAGTCATTCTCAAACACATGTTAAGCCAAAATCAAGTAATGTTATTGTTATACTTTAACAAACTTATACTTGTTTATCAATAAAATCCAGGAGTAAAACAAAGAACTCATGCATTCATGAACATTCCTAAAAGTGCATAGTTCATATTGACATAAAGATGTAATTTTAATTACAATGTGGGTACATGATAGATAAAAGGCTGAGAATCATTAAAGGATCTCGTAACTAAAAAATAACAAAGACGTGCAGATAAACTCATAAAACATAACAATCCAAAACTAGGATCTTATTCCTACATAAAGGTTCTAGACTTCTTCCATATAACATAACAATCTAAAAAAACATTGAAATGACAAAATAAGTAAACTGCACTACCTAATGTGATCACTGATCAACAAACTGCAATGGAAAGAGAATAAACAAAAACAAGAAAAAACTAGGAAAATTTATTAGATTTTTTTCCATTTTCTTTTATCCCACTCACATGTAAATATTTAACTATATTGCCATAACTGGTAAGCAAAACAATCAGGACAGAAAGCCAGCTAGCAGGTGACAAGTTTCTCAGTTAAAACCCAATAAAATGGGGAAAAAAAAATATATATAGCCATTTAACTCCGTATCCATATACAGCTGCTACTCCAAGGAAACACTATAAAATTTACAGAGTATAGACATTATTAAAGCAGAAATGAAGCTATTCAAATATTATATTTATGTATTTGTTATAGGCTCCTAGATACTAAAATCAATAAATAATTGTTTAGCAAAATTTAACGCATGAGGCACCCAAAAAAAAAACTCATGACAAGAAAATAAAACGGTTTCCTATTGCATTAATCAACCAGAAAAGAGAAAAGAAACCTCTCCAGCCTTCACACTGATAACATGCGGCGTAAAACCAAACCCTGCTGATCCTACAAACAGAAAATTCTTTCAGGAATTTATAGTTAAAATAAATAAATACAACAACAAAGGTGCAAAATGATACTTGAATCTCAAATTAGAAAAGCAAAAATAGAGAAGTTTGAGTGTAGCCTATTTACGCGCATAAAAACATAATAGGATTGTAAATAACCAAATTATAGCAAGATTCCAATCTAAGGATAACAAAGACTCTATGCAAGTACTGAAATTAACAAGTACTTTCAAAAGAAAATTATTCCAAAGAAACTCCCTGAGAAATATAACGAAACTTAGTTGAAACTCCACAGAATATCACAAAACGTGAATAATGATATACTACAAATTTTAAAATCACCAGCGCATGTCCCAACTACCCGGGATGCCGGAAGGAGAAGACTAGAGATAGATCTAACATTTGTTATTAATTTGCACAATTAATGCTCTGAGAGTCGAACCTGTGTCCTCACAGTTACAAGTTCAAGTATTTACAATTGCACCAAGCAAAGGACCAGAAATTTTAAACTTAATAAAAAGTTCCCCCAAAATATGATCCTTTATCAAAGCAAAGAATACCACCACACAGTAACAGGCACAATCCACTTCAACAATGACCACAACATATAATACTGTCTGTCAGTCCTTTGTTTACTGGTGGAAAAGAAAAGAAAAGAAAATAATATTGAACTACAATAATAATTCAGAATTCAATTTTACAATAGCAACTTGTTTGTTACCCTGAATTGAAATATATGTTATCTTTACCCTATTTGCATGGGTGTAGCAACACATAAAAAGAAATAATAAGCCAGCAGAGACAAACAGCACAACATACAAAGGGTACATAGGTAATTTATGATATAAGAATCTGGAGTCATAACAAGCAATACCAGCTTCCAATATAACCATATTGCCTACTTGTTCCAATTTATACAGTCATCAACTCATAAATATATTCTGTATCCCCTTTAGACATATATCATGTTTACAACCTCGTATAAATTACCAACAACCAATTCATTCCATATTAGAAATCAAAATAATAAACCACCTTTTAACATAAAAACTATGTAAAAACCCAGACAATCAACCCATAAGAACAGGTCAAACCAACTATTTGCCCAAAGACCCAGTAAGCACCATAAACATTCCATATTCCACCACGTGATAGAGAGATATAGTACACAATAAGGATCAAACATCACTATCAATCCAACACACACAACCCATATAGAAAGAAATACAGGACCTATAAGTTACCTAGAGCTTCCATCTGTTGCTTCTTGCTTGAACCAGGCGGTCGACCTCTGGCCTTCTTAAATGAAGACGGCGAGGTTGATCCTCCTGGAGGAGTAGCTCCAGGAGCATGCGGCGGAGGAGAGAAGGCCCCACCGGACTGAGTGACTGCGACAGCAGGGATTGCAGGCGTTAGAGCCAATGACATGGTGCCATCTGGCCCGTACTTCCGGGGCCTCCCTCTCTTCCTCTTCATAGGTTCGCCCATATTCATGTTTAAGTTATGCGGTACCATGGTGCCGCCGGGACTTTCGCCGCCACTGGCTGGTGACGACTGGTACGGAGGAGAAGTTCCAGTGACCGGTTTGTATACAGCTGTTCCATCGGCACTGTATGCTAACCGCATGTTCTGAATTGCCGGCTGTGACGGCACCGGAGACTTCATGCCGACGGTGAACGATTCTCTACTCGTCACCACTCCTGTCTCAGATCCCGACATCTTTGATGGGGCTTCTAGCATCACCCCCAAAAATCTTTCAAATTCCCTGGAAATACGAAAAAAAAAAAATTACAACTTTCAGATCACCTTCAACACCAGAACAAACATTAACGAGCTCTAAAACCCCAGTGAAAAAAATAAAATAAAAATGAACTCTTACTGAGTTGTAATTCGTTTTCGAAAAAAATACGACCTTTAACAGCATGTTGACTGAAGATATCGACAGAAAATCGAAAACTTTTTGCATATTTAAACCCTGAGCAAGCTCAGCTAAGGAATTCCTAAACCCTAACCCTAAAAAACCTGAACTTTGCCCAAAATATCGTTGCAAAATCTAACTATAATCTAGTGGAAAGCAAACAAAAACCCTAATAACTGTGAACGAAGCACGAACTTTGTTTAAACCCCAAAAAATTGCTGATATTTTCAAATTTTTGAACAGATCAGGTAGAAAATAACAAATATAGCCCGAAAATTAGCATCACACAAAGACAATCAATTTCTAAAATTTTTGTTTTTCGAATTTTACAGTTCACAAAAATACCCAAAAAAGAAAAAAGAAAAATCACAGCGAAAATAAGAAAACCCAGAAAAAATCGAAAAAATGTCAATATTCTTACCAATAAATAGGGAAATTTTTGAAATTCCGCAGAGGAATACAAGATATTGAAAAGATGCAAGAGAAGGAATTTTTAGGGTTTCCGAATGAAGACGGAAAAGGCCATAGGCTTTTTCTAAAGAAATGTTGAGAAATGCAAATATTTGGTTAATATTTTATTTTCTCTCTTACTATTTTTTTAAATTTCGAAGTTTCACTTTTTTCATGCCTTCTCTCTTTTGGCCTCTTTCAATTAAAACCAAAAATAAAATAAAAAATAAAAAATAAAAATAAAAATAAAGCAGGCCGAAATTGCTTTTCGTACAATATAAAAAAATTACTTTAATAAATTAAAAATGCATTAATTATAACGCCTTCCTTTTTCCGAGAAATAAAATTATACACTCTCGTGTACATATTTAAGATACTCGCTCTCTTTTGACTTAAAAGGATGTTGGATAACGAAGTTGTTGGGCAACAAATAACAGGTGTCAACTTGATTATGGCAAGTAAATTGGATTTTGTAATTATGACATGTATTGGGAGGTTTTAGGTCTATTTTTCTATTTGTCCCATTGTTGTTCTCTTTTCATTTTCCTTTCTAAGTAATCTTCATTACAAGTCTAAAAATAATGATTAGTAGTTGGCTATTTGTGCAGTTGAATCACATTATTATTATTATAGACAGTAGACACCACCTTAATTATGTTTATATTCATAATAGCAAAGAAACACTTTCTACAAATTAAGATTAAAAAAACATGGTTGGTGAATGGTAGTTGGTCCATGCAATGCCAAGCATAGTACTATTAGCTACTTAATGGTGAATATATATATATATCTTATTCATTTAATCTGAAACATGGAATCTCTTATCAGTAAAAGAAATGGGTACTATTTTTTTTAGATAACTAAAAATCAAAAAATTGTATAAAAATTCTGTTTGATTCAATTCTTTCTTACAAACTCATAAACTCGGTTAAAAAAAGGCATGGGCGTGTTTGGTTTAGTTTTTTATTTATTAATAATTAAAAATTTGTACAAAAATTTACTCGATTAACAATTTCTAAAAATTACTTTTTGAAAATTCAATTAAAAAAGTTATGTGCGTTCTTGGTTTGTAATTTTTAATATAATTTTTAAGAATTCAAAAAATAAAAAACTCTTTTCAAAGAACAATCTTTTATAATTTTTTTTTAAATATACATTTTTATAACTAAGTTTTTATAAAATATTTTTCAAACCATAATTTTTTATACAATTTTTTGATAAACAGAAATATTTTTCATAGTTACAAGCAGGCCTATATTTTTTAAATAAACAAATTTTAATATAAATAAGAAGTAGGTGCTTTTTAGCTGAAAATAATAATTCGCAAACATATAATGATACTAATGAAGTCATTATTTAAAGCATGCTTGGGCAAAAATAGTAATGCATCGTGATCTCGTAATCTTACTGTAATATATATGTATACAGGGTGGAGCAAAATTTTAATTCGGGGCAGTGTGAAAAAAAAAAAAAAAAAAAAAAAGAAAAAGAAAAAAGAAAAAGTGATAATTTAGATAAGAAGAACAAATATATATATATTACAGGCTATGTATATTATTCTTAAATGCAAAAAAAGAAGAATTTTAATAAGTAGAAACCAAAAAAAATTAACCTTTTAAAAAAAATCAAAGAAATATTAAGAGCAAAAGAAAAATGAAAGAAAATTTTAGAAAATAACTTTAAAAATTAAAATTTTTAGAAGGAATTATATAGAAATTTTCTTATGAATATAAAAATAAATTAAAAAATTATTATATTTTATACTAGACGGGACACGCCGGGAGACACGTGCCCCTAGATATACAAAGACTCTGCCCTATATATATATATATAATTTCAAAATATTGTAAAATAAAAATTATATAATACGGTGATATATAATAATTTAGTTTGGTCAAATAAAATCAAAAGATTTAAAAAATAATAATAATAATAAAATCAAAAGTAATATAATGCAAAAAGTTCATTTGATTTGTACCAGTTACAGGTATATATATATATATTAGTATAAATTATTAACTTTATAATTATTGTACAATCATTTTTCAAATAGTTAGGCTTGCACTCAATATTTTTGTATGGAAAATGATATTTCAACTGAAGTATTTGACCGATTACTTTGGCAGAAACTGAGTTGTCCAGCTAGGCCACTTTCATCTCTTTCTCTCTCATCTCCTCTCTCCTTTCTTTATTTTTCTCATTATATTTCTCTCTCTAATATTTCTTTGAAAATTTTTGTAGACTGTGAACAACAATATAATCAAATAAATAAATACACATATTTACCTTTAAAAAAAAAATTACACATATCATACAATATATATATATATATATATATATATATATATATATGAATATGAATATGATATATGATATGAAGTTGCAACCATATACTTTAAAAATCAAAAGTTCTTTTTTTTTTTTTTTGGTAATTAAAAGTTATTTCTCTCTTCAAGTTAATATGGTAAAAAATATTGCTTGAAGTGACGAAACGAAGAAGAAGAGATTTGATAACTAATCAAAAGATAAGAACTTAACTTAGAACTTGATAGATTGGAAAAGATGAATTTGCGGAAGCGTATATTATTTCTCTTTTTATTATTATTATTTTTTTTAATGGTTAAAGTTGCTTACCTAGATTGTCATGTGTATTCTACCAAACTAATTTGTCAAAATCATTGGTCCATCTATCACTACCTTTTTTTATTAGAATTTGTGAAAAAAATTATAAAGTAGATCGGATAATAGCATTACTCAATTTATGAACAGGATTAGAGTAAACCCAATAAACCCATATTGAGTTTAAGTAGTCTGTTGACGACCCGTGTCAAATTTTATCGGATCAAATACTTTTAGTACGCTGATTTGCTAAGATTAATTTGGTCATTTTAACAATAAAGGCAACTTGAATATGGTAAAAGAGTCAAATCCAAGTTTGACGTAATTTATGGAAATGACAAACTAATTGGGGAAATTTCTGACACAATTCGATTGTTTCGAACTTCAAGTTCTGGCCTTTATCCGACGGAATAAAGCATTGCATGCCTGGACATCAGTTTCTAATAGGATAATTCCACTTAGCTTTTCTTAAGTTAGGCGAAATTATAGGTAGTAGCTTTTACGATTTAAAAGTTACACCATCATCCTTCAAGATTTGCTCTGTCATAGTATTTTGTCTCCTGCAGTCAAAGTCAACACCGGTCAATGATGATTTCTGATGACATTAGCTATTTTTAACCATGTAATATCATATTTGCCCTTACTATATTTGCAAAGACTATCTTTGTATTGAAAATTACTTACATACCTTTAAAACAATCACAACTTATTGTTTATTTTTCTATATACATCTTCTCTCTCTAAAACCTATTATAAGAACGGCTCTCTTATATACATAATATATATCTATTGGTATATACACACACACACACATTGGTTCATTATAGATCTACATATATATACATAGCTGCAAATTGTCGCTGCCACAGCAGATCGCAGCTGAAATCGATGGAGCCCCTTGCCGCCAGAATATATGGAAACCCCTCCGCCGACAGAGCAGCTCTCCTCCTCAGCTCCACCGTACTCGGCTGCACCTTAATCCAAAAACCCCCCATAGATCAAGATCTATTCAAGTTCTTCATTGATCTGAACTTCGCAATCAACCTAATCAGTAACATCGTCTTCTGCAAAAGCATTATCCCTACGACGACGACCAAGATGAACTCAATGAGTACTAGAAGAGCGACTACTTTAGCGTCGTCAAATCGTCGTCATTTCACAAGTCTCGCAACTCTTAGCTGATCGGCAACTCAAACCGCTTCACCAGCGAGAATTGGTCAAGCTCGCTACGGTTTCTGAATTCGGATTTGCATCCAATTCAGAGTTTCGCCAGCTGCGACTTCGCCAGTGAATATTATGGTAATCACGTCCATGTCGGTGAAGTCGAGGCAGCAGATGTTCATGTTCGGATCAGTGAATTTATGCCGGAGATAGTAGCTCTACTCTGCCCTACTCATACATCTATATATCTATACATAAGTTTGACCAATTGAAACATTTTTTTTCTAAAAATTTCTTGGATCCACCAAGTCTCCTTCTTCCTCAGTCTCCTTATTTTAGGTCGTTACCGTTGGCTTCACCTGTGGATGATAATGCTGTGTTAGTTATCGTTGTGGAAGAGTCCGGCAGTGGAGATGATTATGATGGTGGTGGTTGTGGTCGCGACGCCACCACCGTCACCACCTATGGTAGTTGTCTGTGTATGTATTCATGGTGTGTGTGATATAGAGGGAAAGTTGAGTGGTAATGATTAATGTAATGAATCATCAAAGGAAATGGCTACATCGAATAAAATTGGTCGCTAGAGAAAATGATTTCCTTGGTGGGTGGGGGACGGCGGGCGGTAAGCGGCGAGAGTTTGTACATGTAGGTGTGTATATTGTTTATTACACAAGTATAAATTTATTTTTTGACAACATAGTAATTTCACAGAAAGATTTTATGTCATGTCATATTAATAAAATATTAGAGGGTGTTTTAGTCATTTAACATGGTCAATGGCCGGAATAAAATGTCGATCAGTTTGGAGGGAAGTCAGTGTAATTTTTGAAACGTAAGGGATACTGTCTATAATTACGCCTAACCTCAGAGGAGGTAAGTGAAATTATCACTTTCTAATACGTTTGACATCAAGGCTTTTTTTTAAAAAAAATAATAATAATAAGTGAAATATATATATTTTTTATTTTTTTTGATAGTTGGCAAAAGTCTTGAGGTCGAGTCTATCAGGCGAGGCATGTAAAATAATTTGTCAAAAATTGATGGATTAGTTATTTTTATTAAATTTTAATATTTTTTTTGTTTATAAATATTTTACGATAACCAAACAAAAAAAATAAAAAAATTATTTTTTTAAAAAATATTTTATATCCAAACAAACGGAGTCCAAATGTGCAACCATTGTACAAATATATGTATATTTGTTGCGAGAAAGCTCGAGAATAAAGGGACATATTTTTTCTTCATTTTTTTCTTTTTAGAAAAGAAAAATGTTATCCAACTAATCATTTTACATTTCAATTTTAATTAAGAATTCTCATTGTACATTTGAATTTAAATTAAGGATTCCTCTTACAAGTTGTACAAAAGTGGTCCTTATTGCAAATAAAAATGCTAATTCCCCAATAAGTCCATAAATTGTTAAAGTTTTCATAAAAGATTCCATTTGAAGAGTTTTTCATTTTATTTTTAACTTATCATTCTTTTCTTTTATTTTACTTACCACTTTTCTTACTGTGCGCATATTCTTTTTCTATTTAGTTGAATTTCGATTTTATGGAATAAACACAACCTCTCCCTATTTATGTTTTGAAGTAGAGTATTAATACGAATTCGACAATTAAATAACTATGTCTTTTCATGCGAGTGAGGTTAACGTTAAACTCATTAACAAAATACAATCAAATTGTTTTGGATTTACATCATTTTCCTTCCCGTAATGATTCTTCTGCCATCTGAGTACCGGGTTAGATTCATGATGAATCTTCTACATATGATTTAAAATTTAAACCCATACCTTATGATAATGGAGTTTTGACTGCTTCTCCGGAAACATATATATATATACCCCGTATTACTTTGATTCTAACTAATTTATAGCCAATGACACTAGTTTTTAAAGACTAATTTAAGATTAGAGGTCATTTTCAAAATAAAAATAAAAATAAAATAATAACCATTTTTTATTTATTTAATATTGGAGGTTTATGCACATGTTAATTAATATTGATATTTTGTTTTTTTACTCATTTTATATTTTCTCCATTAAAATGCATTGATTTTGATGATCATAAATTCTCTTGCACTGTCAAATTGTGACATGTTGGTCTGCTTAAAATTGTTGCTAAGAAGAAATATGATGTTGACTAGATAGAATGGCTTTTTAATGAGATTTCTTATCTTTTAATTGCATAAAAAAAATAAAAATTAAACAATTTTTATTAGATCTTCATATGCTTTAGTTTTACTCCTTGGTATGTTGATGCAGAGTTTAATGCTCATAATAATATAAGAATAATAGAACTTGAGAGTAAACAAATATATAATGGAAAATTTGAGCTTGTTTGGTTTATCACCCACAAAACAGGTTTTTAAAATTCAAAAAATATTAATTTGTCACATAAAAAACAGTTCTCAAATAACTCGAAAAGTAGAAAACTATTATCTAGATAACCATAAAACACAATTCTTTGAAGGGTTAAGTGCAAAAAAAACCCTATACTATTTTTTTATAATAGTATATATTATAAATTGAGATACATATTTTCAAAAAGAAAAAACTATTTATGAACAAAACGCGGGGGTTTAAAAACATGAATAGAGTCATATAATGAATGTCGTGTTTCGATAAGGTGGACCAAGCGGATGAAATTTAGTGAGTCAGGTAGACATGATATCAACCGCATAAACTAATAGTGTATCCCAGTGAGGGAAAGATATGGCGCCTCTTTCGTCTTTGCACTGTCCTCAACTCTCCCACTTCTTCACCGCACTGTCATCCCAAAAAGGTCATCCTTCGTCGTCTCCAAAACCCCTACTCTACATCCATATATATATATATATATTGGCATTTGATACTGTTCACGGAACAGAGTTATTGAATTCATTCGTTAAATTTCTTCAGGTTTAAAAAAATACAAGAAACTACAACTCATTTGCTGCGGGAACAACGAAGTAGATCAAAATTTATGGTAATTCTTCATCAAATTCATGATTTTCTTCTGTTAATTCTGTTTAGCTGCTTATATGTTTGATGATGTTTGATATTTGTTCTGTACATTACTGATTTATTGCTCTGATACTGTAGTTTTGTAATTCGGGATCAATTCAGAATTAAAAGGAGAGAGGCATTGATTCAGACGGCCTTTACTGGATTGTCTTTTCCTGCAATTGTTTCCGTTGCATTGGCAGATGAAGGTGACTCCCTCTCTCTCAAAACGGATGGAATTGTCTACTTTCATTTTTGTAATCGACTTTGTGTTATTTTCCTATAACATTTTTGAGTTTCAGATGTAGCAGATGATTTTCGCGTTTACTTGGACGATGTCAACAAGTTCAAAATAATAATTCCCCGAGGTGAAATCTTTGTTAACCATGTTTTTTTCATTACATCCAATTATTTCCAACAACCAAATGGAAGATTAGTGATTTTAAAATATATAATTAAGAATAGGTAGAAATGTTCTTGTTGAGATGGATGTACAGTAAGACTAGAAGGGATTGAATTAGAACTGATCACATTCGGGAGATGGTTGGAGCAGAACCAATTGGAGATAAAATGAAAGAAAATAGGTTAAGATGGTTTGGACATGTGCAAAGAGGACCTTTATGTACGCCGGTTTGGAAAAGTGACATAATTCAGGGGAATAGGAAGATCAAAGTCAACGTGGGTAGAGTTAGTAAAGAAAGATATGATAGCATGTGGATTGACTGACGTTATAGCCTTAAGTAGAGAAGAATGGAAACATGGGGGATTTATGTAAGCCACTCCAAATGATTGGGATAAGGCTTGGTTGTTTTTTTTGTATAATTTAGAATAGGGAAAATGCCATTCACACTCCACTTCCTCTTTTCTTTTTTAAGGAGTGATAGCATTGTCTTTTTAAAACACTCTCAAACTATGGGATTATTTACCCTGTTCTCCACTTTTGAATGTTGAACAATTTGATTGCCAAGTTTTATGATCTATGATTTGGTAGTTTCGTTAGTCTTTTAGCATGTTTCCATATCTATAGTTTATGGTGTGTGTTCATGAGTTATATATATGCCCACACTGTGCTGGCATGTAGAGTACAATCAATTGTGGTAACAGTTGGTACATTTTCCTGTAGATTGGCAAGTTGGTGCAGGAGAATCTAATGGAATCAAATCGGTAACTGCATTTTTCCCAGGCGAATCTTCTAGTTCAAATGGTATACATGAGGTTTCTGGTCGATCTATCCCTTTAGTTGTTGAATCATGAATTTGAAAATCGCTTAATGGTTGTTTCAGTCAGCATAGTCATCACGGGGCTTGGTGCAGATTTTACTAGATTGGAATCTTTTGGCAAAGTTGATGCTTTTGCCGATACTCTGGTGGTTTCTTCTTCTCCCTTTTTTTTTTTTTTCATTTAAGTTCTACAGTTTTTACTAAAAAAAGAAGAAGAAGAAAAAGGATATTACCCGGTGTAAGTGCTGCCTAGGTGGGGGGTTGGGAGGGGAAGAGTGGAGACAGATCCAACTGTTTGCATTATTTTACACAAAATGGCCATCCTAAGCCCTGGACCTGTGTCTCATGCTTGTCATTGAGCTTTTACCATTGCACCATTCAGCGACTTCCCCCAACACCTTACACAGGCGAGGCATACACCAGAAGCTTGCTCAGCTTATATGTTTATTTCATGCATTATATCTGCCTTCACCAGGTTAGTGGACTGGATAGAAGCTGGCAAAGACCTCCGGGTGTGGCAGCAAAACTGATAGACTGTAAAGCTGCCAATGGTAATTCCTCTACTTTTGGGTCATTTGGATGATATTTTGGGCCAAAAGGGTGATGCAACACATTTCAGTTACTGGTGTCGTGTGGATTGAGGATAGTATTTATGAAATGCATAAAAAAAAACCTGACAAATTCAGATTTTAACACTACATATTTGTGTCCACTCTAAACTAATTCTGGATTCGACTACAGTTGTGTCCAAAATCGGTATCTATAAGCTGTCAAAATTCGAAGAAAGTATAGTTTGATGCAGCCACACTCATGTCCAAGCAAGTCTTGGGCTGGATACGAAGTTGCAGCTGTGCAGTTATTTTTCTAGAACTATTTTGAATTGTATTTACCACAGTTTGGGCACATCCACAATTGCATTTTGCACAAAAATGTCTTGGATGTATCTATCAATGCCTATTAAGTATGGTCATGGACAGAGGATTAGGATGGGACATGTCATGAACACGTTGATATGACTAATCTTAGGACAATAATTTTTTTATTTATTTAAAATGTCACTTTAAATACGATGAATAGTACTTCATGACAACTAAATCCAATATTGTATGACTAAATGAAATTTATAACTCATAAATTATATAACTATATCACCCTTTTCACATAGAGTAAGTCATAGAAAGGACAAAACTCGTGGATGTGCATCTTCGATGCTTGTTGGTAGTTCTGCACATTTGTATGCACATACATTTTTTAACTCCTGTATCCTCTCCTACTCTCACACTCACTCCTTTAGTAAGGTATTTATACATCTTTTCTTTTTAATATGATGATTTTTTTTTTTTTTTAAAGACCTTTTTTTCTTGCAATTGTTCTTTAATTAAAGGAAGTTTTACCTGATGTATAAAGTTCATTTAGTCAAATGTTGGTGAGCATCTGATAAGTGTTGGTATTGTATCCACAATTAAGAAAATTATTTTTAAATACTAAAATCTGCTGTGTCCACAAAGTGGTGTCTAAAATGTATCTGACATACATATTACTCATTTTTAGAAGTGTCCATACTTGTCAGATTAATGCATACTGCCGGTGCAAATCTGTACAGACAATGATCTTTACTCAGACTCGTTAATACAACTGCTTGATGAAGGACTGCTATTTATGCAACTGGGGATGTGTCTAGGGCTTGCTATGCCTGAACACATCTAAAGCCACATCTAGACTGGAGAATTTACTTTCTATTTTTTAACTTGACACTGACCGGACTTGTGATGCGGTAAAATAGAGTCTGTTTGTTTGCGAATCTGACTTTGCTACCATTCAATTGTAGACAAAAAATCTGGTGTCTACTTGTATGTGTATGGTTGTATTCCATTCACTGAAGTTTTGAGTTTGTCGTGGCCATATCTACTGATCATAGAAAACTATAAGGAAGATGTTACAAGCTTTAGAAAATTTAACTTTAAATTTAAGAATTCATATTCATATTTTCTATAATGATTGGCCAGGGTTGTACTACATTGAGTACACATTGCAAAAACCCGGTGAAAGTCGCAGACATTTATTTTCAGTGCTTGGAATGGCAAACAATGGTTGGTACAACAGACTATATACAGTCACTGGACAGGTCAGTTCAGTTATGACAGACTATGTTTATTAGAGTGCTTCGGAGTTGTAGCGTTTGTATTTCCTACATCAGTGCCTTGTTGGTGCCTAACCTAAATTCCATTCATGTCAATTCTATATTTTACTGCAGTTTGTTGAGGAGGATTTAGAGAAATACAGTTCCCAAATTGAGAAGGTGAGCTTAAACAAACATAGTATTGACCAAACTGTTATTATTTATCAATCACAAAGCTTTATATATCAATTTTGATCTTCTTTTTTGACTTTGGTATACATGGAAGATTGACGTTTCAACTGATTTTGGCTTAATATTCATAAATTATTTGTAATTCAGATACATTTACATAAAAAAAATACACAATTTTCGGCCCTATGTTAGTCTGATATTGACAATAGAACAAACATGAATTTTTTTTGTTAAATATATGATACTTGATTGGATTATTAGAAGATTGTATTGACATTTTGACCTTGCTGGACCATGGCTTTTCATTTGAATTTTTTTAATCTAATAGGCCTCTGTATGGTCTAAGCTAATTTACTTGACTGTATGGTCTAAGCTAATTTTTTTTCATATGGGCAATAAATATCTCTTCCCTCCTTACTAGACACATTCATATGACCATGATATGGTCATGAGACCAATGCTGATTTTTGTCAATCAAGGAGATTGGGAGAGATGAACCTCAGTAAAGACCTAATTTCATCATCATCCTTGCCTTGAATATGATTAGAGTCTGCCACATGAATCCTTCTTTTCCATTCTTTTCTATTACACATCATTTCTCCTATTATATATATATATATATATATATATATATATATATATATATATATATTATAATTCATTTCACGTTAATATTGGTCACCCTCTCCGTTTCTTACCCTCTATGGGAACTAATCTTCCTCTTCTTGCTGGCACAACTATATGTTGTCCTTGTATGTGTCCATGCCATCTAAATCTACTCTCTTATTCTCTCACTAATGTGCTCATACCATCTATAAATCGTCCTTGTAAGTGTTCATACCATATAACTCAGTACAAACCTAATGTTTGGCATTATTTGTACAAAGTGTGATTGTTCTCACATTTGAAGTGGAGATCTTACCCTTAGGTGGTTATCAATGTTTGTGGACAAGTGAGCCATTTGTGCATAATTCCCAAAGCAAGTGGTTTCTCCATGGTATTTTGTGCGGCTAAAGGTGGAATTTTTTAAATTAGTCAGATTCATATTCTGAGGTTTTATCCTTTCCTTGGTCTTTTCAGGCTGTTGCCTCTTTCCGGCTAATCTGACGTAATGGCGTATGTTCTTGGAGTTCTGATTCACTAGCTTGGTAAGTGGCATGTGTACTTTGTTCTTCATGAGTAGATTCTTTTATCCGTTCATTTAAGCAGTTGGTGAATTCTACAGGCGAGCTGATTTCACTACAATAGAAACACCGAAACTTGTTCATTCCTCTAGTGAAAACCGAGCTTGTTTTTGTGCATAATTCTAGAGGTGCACTTGTTACACACCGATTGCAGCTACTAGATTCCACAAGTCATGGTGTTTTGATGAATTTTACAAATATTTTTAAGTGAATTAATTCTAACTTGTTTTGCCTGCACTGATAAATTTTCCCAGACTTTGTATTGTGATGAATGCACACATCTTATTGAATCAGGCTTTCTTTCTGGGGAATTACACATATCCACACTGAATTGATGGGTAGATTTTTTCAATTTCAAATGCAAAGATCACGCTGTCTCCTTCATTTGTGTACTTTGTATCTGATAATGTGTCCTAACAACATTGTTTGGACCAAATCAGAATATTATTCGTATATGCAATGACATGTTTAGTACGAGCATCTATTTTATCTTTTTAACACCACTATTTTTTCAAACCAATTGGGACATTTTGAAGTCAGACCTTGTCAAAGGTTTCAATTCATTCCTCCATTATGGCCACTTACTAAAGGCCACATTTTGTGTAGGAATCTTATTAGCCTTGTATTGCCGCGATGATTGAAAGAAAGAAAGGTGATCTCTGGGGCAGCTTCAGTTTGGAGGTGCATACATGAAGGACAGAGAGAGTTGCAATGGGTTTTTTTTTTTGGTGCTCAGGTATGCTTATAGCCAATGTGCTTCCTCTAGATCAACCAGCAACCTACAATAGTTGAATGTCTTATTGTTGATATCATTTCAATACTAATCCAATCTTTTATTGCCTTGATTGTTTGCTTGATTGGAGCACCAAAATTTAGTTCAAAAGTTGTAATATTAAGTTGGTGATAGTTCTTTCACCGAATATTTTTTGGCTTGTACATCGTTCAAGGTTTTGAATCTCGAATTCTTAATAAATCATTTTAACAGATCTTTACTTCAGCTAAGCTAGTACCTTTATGGTTTTTTTTTTTTTTTTTTAATTAAGGTTAGCCCAACTAAACTGAACTTTTTATTTGTCAAACTTCACCCTTTCTCTTCTGTTTTTGATATTATTTGTTACTTTTCTTCTGTCGTTGCAGGTCCTTGCACCCTGCTGGTTAATTCAATAATTGGTTTAATAACTTGTGGCTTGGAATACCAAGCCTTGTAAGCAGCACCTAGGATACACCCTGTTAGCTATAATATGTTGATTTGAGCGATAAGTCCGTGTGAAGAATGTTTTATGTAGCACATTGTATAACGATGAATTAATTATTCTACACCAGAGTAAATGATGGGTCTACCATTATTTAATACAATAATAACATTTTGAATATATTTCTATGATCAGACTGTTGTAGTGGTACAAGGGATCGAGTTTGTCTTATGGTCAAAAGACTTTTGGCGGAGTTTTTGTTTGAATTTCCACAAATTGGCGCCATCTCAATATCAACATTTGACCGAAGCAAAGTTTGATATTGAGTCGCTCTGTAAAGCGGCTGATATGATGAGGCGGGAACGGAAAAACGTCTGAAAGATTCTTCTCATTTTTTATCTTTTGCATGGTCGGGTTTTACAACTAAAGCAAGCACCAGATTTCTTGTAATTGACCAAGTTGCCCACATAAGGATTCATAGCAATGGAATATAGATTTTATATGCTTTTACTTCAGATTCACCTCGGCGTGAAATGGAACACATTGAACGGCAAATTGTTCTTACTAAGAAGCTTCTACTTCTCCATATGCTGATGCATTCAGGATATTAAAACTTATGAAATCATGCGAACAATATTACTAATATCGACGATAAGCAAATGCCGCAGTGACCTGGGCAAATGGTGCCAACTTCTTGTTATATACATGCTTTGTTTCGGGCGTATGGTTGTGGCTATGGTTAATGAGTGAATTTAATATTTAACTACACAGGAATAGTTGACAACATGGTAACTTTCTCAACTTGCCCATCTCCTCCTGGCCTTCTAATCGAACACATCAAATAATATTTAAAGAGAAAGGGTAAAAAAAAAAAAAAAAACGAGAAACTTATAAATTTGGGGACTTTCCCATGCTTTGAAGTCCGGATATAATAGAAATTACACAATGAGTTTCCGATGAGACACCAACAATTGTTATGCACAAAACAAGGAACATATAAAAAATGCAATGCAAGACCCACCAACAAAGACACCAGAGAATATCTACACACGCTGCGGGGACTAGACAGTAAGAGAATCATATTTTGATTCTAACATGATTTTTCGCTGAGGTTTTATTCCTACATGATAGCCAGAAACCGATTCCAGCATCAATTAATCCACGACTCTCTACCAGTCATTAGGAGCACTGGTGGTATGTGAGAGTTCACAAACACAAATGGTGAATGCAGTGTGGTTCTTAAATCATATTTTGATTCTAACATGGTTTTTCACAGTGGTTTTATTCCAACATGATAGCCAGAAACCGATTCCAGCATCAATTAATCCACAACCCTCTTACCAGTCGTTTAGAGCACTGGTGGTATATGAGAGTTCAGGGACACAATGGTGAATGCAGTGCAGTTTGCAATCATATTTTGATTCCAACATGGTTTTTTCACAGTGGTTTTATTCCAACATGATAGCCAGAAACCGATTCCAGCATCAATTAATCCACGACCCTCTACCAGTCGTTTAGAGCACTGGTGGTATAAGAGAGTTCAGAAACACAATGGTGAATGCAGTGCAGTTCGCATCTTCCATGTTCCTTTCTCCACCATCTGGAGCAACAACTCAAGACATGATTTCTCTGGTGAGCATGACTTTGTATGACCTGCATAACATACACATTGTGTTATTTAAATGCTTGAAATTGAAGAAAAAGCAAACTGTTAGATATCAATAAAGTTGAGTGGTAACATAAGGGCACTATGTTGTAATCCCAACTCTGAAATGGGCTGTAGGAAACCAATCCAAGACCAACTATAGACAGACCACAACTGCATATTGAAGCTAAGCATCACCCCCACATCGCACAGAAGCTGACAAATATATGCTCACTTTAATTACGTTCCTTGGTTATAAATCTTACCCAATTAATTTTAGGCCATTAAGATGTTACAGGAAGAAGGATGGGGCTCCTGCACATGACTATTAGTTGCTAATTCAAGACAGTACAAAAAAATACTCTCATGATCTAATAGATTATATGGTCCTAGATAGATCATAATGGTGAGGAGATTCAATTAAATCTAACATGTTTGCTGCTGGCTCTGCTGAGAGCAACCCTTCTCATGCCTTTGGATTTGCTTTGTTGAGATTAAAGCCAACACAATGCAGATGGAGGTCTGAGCCAATATGATCTCTATTCTGTTAGGAAGGCAAACTTCACCTGTTTCAACCTATTGATGCAGTTATTTATAAATTATAATCAAGGGTATCCATTGACTATGAAAATTTATATTGAACTCATAAACTAGATGGTCTACAGACTACCTAAAATGTTCTTTTAGCTACGTGCCTACATTACCTCCCCCTCCTTTTCTTTCATTCATTCTAAAGTATTTAAAGCATGAATGAAGTCACTAATCCACCACCACCATCATATTATAGGAGTTCAACGTCATGGTTTAAGATTTTCAAGCATTCTCATGAAAACATATGAAATATTAATTTTTTTATGAAATTGAGAGAAAATGTCGGGGTTTTTATAAGTTCATTGATTAATTAACTGTAACATAGATACTTGTGTGCTATTAACAAGGGCATCTCTGATTGGCGATTTCCTATTAATACTTCAAAACAGTGGATGTTTTTATGATGCACTGGTTGCAGAAATAAGCATATTCAAGCCAACAAATTTTTCATAGGTGTCGTCTTTCCTCGCTATTAATTCGTTCTTCTTTTTTTTTTTTTTTTTTTTTTTGGTAATTTTAAATCATACTTAGCCACGATTAAGCATGGACATTGAAGAACTAGATGTACTGCATCAACAAACCTGGACTCCATACCCACAGAGCAGCATGTCTAGATTCTAGATATTGTCTCTGACCTTATAAAACAATCTAAGTGTGTATTAAGACAATTTTTAATATCATGTTATATTTAGCTTTGTGGTATTCAACTCAATTTATTCTCTTTGTGCTTGACTTTCCATTAACATTGGACTTTCCCGTGTACACATACACATAATGATGACATGTAATTATGATATTCATGGTCATATTTCCTATGCCCTTGCATTCTACAATTTCTTGACATATGTTAGTCTCAGTGTTACTTAAATTCAATGTGCAATGGGCAAAAAGTGGATTGTGTACCTCTAGAATGCAAAATGAATAATGGGCAAGGCTAGATTGGGAGCCTGCCACTCAAGTAGCAGTACCGCTGCTCGTAGTCCTGCTGCAATCTAAGGATACCTGCAATCAACATTAAACCAAAAACATCTCCCAAAGATCATACCGGTGGCAAGCTTAGGCAAAATAAAATAAAGAACTTAATGCCCAGACATGCAACTAACACCACTCACCTTGATCAATCCCTCACGCAGCTGACTGGTCAGAATTGCTACCTTGCACGGATTGAGGAGAATGAGCAGGAACAATAAAATGGGATTGTGCAGGAACAGATGTTGCCACACCTGATAAAGCCAAGCCACTTGCTTTGTTATAGATCAATCTATTTTGATATTTACCTAAATATAACATCTAAAGGGTCTTTTAATTTTTTCCGAGTTATTCATAATCCTTTTGTTATAGTTATTGGTCTGTAGGTGTATTAAGAAGTTTTTTAGATCTCAAAAAATTGCCTCATCATGGGTTAAAAAACATGTTCTCCTGAAGCCAATATAATTAATATAAATATGTACACGCACATGTATGCAAGTGGTTCGAGCTTTATGCTCCGACTTTCATAAGGAACAAGCGATGGTATTAAAGAAAGAAAACTTTGCCTGTAGCACATGGTGCTTGAATTGTGGGAATATGTGAAGCTGTTATTGTATTGACACTGGGTCCACCGAATTGGACAATCTGATGACCTGGCATTGCATAGCCCTGCACTGTTGTATAACCATGACCAACAGGAATAGTTTGACCCAATTGGCTATAGGGATACGTAGCTGTGCTAATTGTTCCAGGTGTTCCATATATATGATAGTACTGCTGACCCATGTAGGGGTTGTAAACACCCTATCATAAAGATGAGAACATGCATACATTGGGAGCAAGTCAGAATTGTAAACAAAAACACAGTATTCATACACTCTATCTATACTAATAAAAAAGTGAACTTCATTTGCAGTTGCCATTTTAGAGCGCTAATGACCTGCGGGTAGACGTATTCAGGACCATATGTTGCATACCTGCATGAACAAAAACGATTGGATATTTTGAGAAGTTTAGCACCAGGATGTAGAATGAGCATGTCCCCCAGATGCATAATATTGAAAGAGAAACAACATATGCAAATCACAAGTTCAAATGTTAAGAATCCCAGATTTCCATACTAAGCCAATAACTAGTCTGCTCATTACTCCGACAATGAGCCATACCCTGTTTAGCATGTATACAGGAGAGGATGATGTGCTTAACAGCTCAATTGATGGGTTTCTTTATTTTTCTTTATTTATTTATTTTTTATAATTTTTTTTCTTTCGTTCTTTTCAAGTACCGTACTCCTATGAGTATTATCAGACTTGTCAGTTTAACACGTGCATAGATGGTCAACTCAGAAAGGTGATGAGCTTAAAACCCAGTTGATAGGCCGTTCCTACTCTTTTCTATCTGAGTGGTACGATACTATTCAGACAGGAGGCATACCATGCCTATCATGTGCATGAAAAAATTTATCTCCTCAATCAGACCACTGGTTGTTAATTTTTGCCTATTTAAAGCAGATGATTAAGGTGGGCACATATTTCATGCAACTACCACTTTATGTGTTCCTACAGTACCAAATTCACGTGTCACATAACTGTACTTTGGAGTAAAAGAACGTTGAACTTTACGGGGAATGACTACCACTCCCATGTCATGTTGCATGTTGTGATTGGTACTCATAAGAATCGCCATAAATGGCAGTGTTCTATAAGTTTTGGACTTCTGATTTTAGTCAAAGTAGTTGCTAAGTGAAAAAAGAACTGAAGAATAGGTTTGCTGTACCTGCATCTAAGATGGCACAGGGAGTAATGCTAGAATGCATATAAAGTGAAATTATTAAGGTAATGTATTTTGGGTGGTTTTATTGGATATTAGTTATAACTCTTGAAAATGTTTATGATTGTTTACAAGTTCTGAAAGACATTAGAACTTTTCTTTATTTTAGAGGCAACCGAAAGAATGGACTTGATATTATTAAGTTGAATATTATGAAGATCAAAAGTTGGTGCAAGAAAGGAACTGTGGGTTAAAAAGAAATAATTGGAATAGGTTAAACAAAAAATTCTAAAGATGCATAAGTGGGATCTGTTATTTAAATAATTCCCACAATTCCCCAACTCACATAATAAAACTTAGAAGTGTTTTGTGATCCTATCATACGTGGAAGGAAATGGATGAGGCAATAACAAATGGATTCCTATTTTTCCCTTTCCACACGCATTGTAAAACTTTCTGTTCTTTATTTTATCATGACTACCCTTTCCAAACAAGATGAAAGGTATACCACTATCCTTTCATTTCTTTTACTTTACTAGTTATCAAAACAAGAAGAGGGGTTGACATTCACTTTATTTTTCCATCTCATCTAACTAATATTGTCACTCCTTTTCCTTCCACTCCTGTTTATCCAAATGAACTATAAACCTTCTTACTGTGAGACCAAAAGTACGCTGATATTAGTAAAAGTCTGAATTAGTATAGAAAAGAATCGAAGATTTGATGTGAAATATGGCAAGCACCTTACCATTAGGCAACATGATTATGTCGCATAAGCAAAATTACACCACTATATCCACACATTGTTACAATATAATTTTAAATTCCACAAGCACCTACTATTTATATCTATTTTCAACATATCTTACTATTCATGATTCAATACAATTTGTGTTTCACAATATCAAACCCAATTTGACTATTATAGAGATATACAAATGTATGTGTGTATTAGCATGTATATACAAATGTATGTGTGTATTAGCTTACACTCACAGTTGCATGTCTGCTAATATGCTTGTATAAAAAATCCTCGCAAAGCCAACAAGAACTAATAAAACAGAATAATTATAGCTGATGGGATATGAAAAGACAACACTAATAGGTGCCCAATAATTCCACCTTTTCCTTTTTATTGATAGGTATATAGTCAAAGTTCACATACAATTTCACTATCATTTCAATCAACCGGAAGGGACAAAAAAACAATTTTTTTATAGGAAAAACGACAAAGAATGTAAATAATGGCATGTCAGTAAAGCATTGATTTAAATGTTTCAGCTACATGCAAAGCACCAAGAAGGAAAGCTCCAATTTTAGGATGCATCAGTAGCTTAAATTTCTGAAAAACTAAACAAGGGAAGAAAGGGAGGGGGGAGGGGGGAATATCACAACATACAGCACTTCACACGTCAGGATTCTGGACAGAGAAGATCCAGCGGAACTAATCTAGCCCTGTGAAGATTTTTAATGTAGGTCATAAACTATTTGCTCTGGAACTACTCACCCATATGGAGGATAAACAAATCCTTGTTGGATGTTATATGGAACTGGTTGCTGATAGCCAGAACTCCCAATGTAGGCCCCCCGACCGGCTGGTACACTTCCAATGAAAGGGGCTGGTGATCTAAGACGCCCTACAAGCAACAGAAACAAAGATCAGAATGTAAATGTATATTAATTAATTGGAAAACTGACAAATAATGTCTTCATTGAGGGAAGATTCTGTTTTCTATTATTTCTTTGAAACTCAACCTAACAAAGCCCTCTTTCAACCATTTAAAGTTGGTAAATAGTCAAAAGTTAAACAGCCGTGTTTCACGAGCCCCTTGTTAAGTCCTTTATATACGCTCTGCAAATGACTCGGTTAGGCATTGGGTTTCGGACGACCCCAAATAAATAAAAAAATTAATTGAACTTTCCCAGTCCAATTATAATTTATAAGATCCTCTTCCCATAATTTCAGCCTAACCAAAACCATTACCAGATCTTGAGCAAAAAATAGCTCATATAAATATATAAAATATAGTTATTTTAATAAGAATGAGTATAAATATGAGTCCATTTACTTTATACAAATAGCAAGGGGAAGCAGCTGATTGCAGTCCCAAAACCAAGCATGTAGACATAATAGATAATCTGCTCACATACAAAGAAGGAAAGGAAAGAGAGAATAAAAGTAAATGAAGTAGACTGAAATGTACTTTGAGATTTTATAATTTAACAACAACATGGATGGACCCTCATCTAGGTGCTTGAGCACAAAAAATGCAAAAGAACGCTACCAGAGACTTTGATCATTAAAATTTATATATATATATATATATATATATATGCAGAAAATGGAGCACCAGATAACATACCAAAAGGCAGAGAAGGCCGAGGTCGTCCAAGTGAAGCCAAATTACAATTTGCCTGTCTACCATCAATAATTGGAGTTGGATCAGTGCAGGCTTTTCTCGCAGACTCAGGGTCCCGGAAAGTCACCTAAAACCTCCACACAAACACCAAAAAAAACCAAGTCATTCAATTATTCATCCCAATGATAAGTGAAAAAATTAAGACGAAACATGAACTGATAAAAGATCAAACATTTATTTTTGCTCAAGCAATGAGCAGTAACCTTAATAATTTACCAGTCATTTGCCAGAACTGATCAAATGCACCATACTTGTCTAAGTTTTAAATTTTAAGTTAATGGAGTTGCTATCTGCACTCAATTTCGGGCCCTCACTCCCCCATAGAAAGAAACCACTAAAGCACCCTTCCTCTTCAAAACCCTCTCTCTGAATGATACTGAACCACAGTAAAGCATCTGACAACAAACAGAGAGAAAAAGGAACAAGATCGTTTTAAAACATCCATCTAAATCTCACATTGTAATTTGTAGTTACTACAAGTAACCAAGATATCTTCCATGCACAGCAAGCTCCTTCAGATAAGAAGAGGGGGAAAAAAAATGATTCAAGCTCAAACCAAATTTGAGAGAGAGAAGGCATTTGTCCGATTCATCATGCCTCTAGTGCTATTCATCTTTAATGCTCTAATCAATCATATTCAATTCCTCTTCTTGGACAATTCCGTGCTCCATACAGAAGTTCCCATCATCACCTTCCCTTTCGTCAGAAAAAGGATACCCACCTCTAAGAACCATGAACCTTATCTTAAAGCTTGCTTTTGATTTTTTCACACGCACATATCAAGAGAGAGAACACATAAACCAAAACCGTGAACCCCAAAAAAGTCAAAAAAAAAAAAAAAAAGAAATCCAATCTGTAGAGTGAGCAAGCAGAAAAAGGCAGGAACCAAATGTGGGGTCTGTTATCCAATTTCAAAACTTTCAACAAACTGCAATTGATTACCGATTCAAATCTATTAATGTACTTCGAATTACCTTCTCCATATACCATCTAATTATCGTTTCTTCATCTCATACTATACTACTCTCCACAACAGGGAGAAACTGCAAAGATGAGGATCAGAACAAGGTCCTAATGGCTATCAGAGAGACAGAGATTGGAGTGCCAAAAAGGCCTCCCTAAAATAGTAGGGACTTAGTCGAATCAAACAACATATCACTCATTCAGTTCCTTTATATCAGTAAAATGAAAAATAAAAATAAATTTTTTTTTTAAAAAAACAATTATATATTTTCACCACTGTGGCTTAAGATCATAGGAATTAAGAACAATTGGAAGAATGAAAAGCAACACTACTCACAAAACCATAGCCTTTGGATCGGCCCGTGTTCTTATCGGTGATCACCACAGCCTCTAAGATCTCACCGAACTGCTCGAAATAGCGGCGCAAGGTCTCACTCCGAGTCCCCCAAGCGAGCCCTCCAACAAAGACCTTGGTGTAAGTCGTATCTCCAAAAGAGGAATTCAGGAATTGATACCCAGAACTGGAACTCGAACCCGAACTCGGACCAGGAATCGATGGCTGATAAGCCATGAATAACAACACGAACCTTTGGCAACACGGAGAATGAACTTAAGAAAAAAACGGAAGATTATTCACAAGATAAAAACGAACTAAAAAATCGGAATTGATTCAAGTTATACAGCAGAAGAAAAACCCTAGATAAACCTTTAAAAGTTGCCAAATTTCGATGAAAGCGAGTGACAATCAATGAATTACAGCTAGATGAAGTTGGAAGAACAGAGATGGCAGTTTCTGAATGGAAAGCGAGAAACAGACAGGAGAGCGATGGAGACAAGAGAGGCGAGGATGAACTGAAAAAAGAACAAAGTGAGAAAAAGGAACCCTAGAATGGAAGTGGGAAAGGGAGGAGGTCAAAAGGGAGGTCGGTGGAGCAACTGACTGTACAACAGAGGATGGTACTGGTGTGGGGGATAGATTATGTGGAAAAAAGGTGAAGTTCAGAGAGAATCTTTGCTACAACGAAGGAAAAGGGAGGGGATTTATTTTATTTCGTTGGAGATAAATTATTAGGGCAAGGGAATGGAGGGGAAAGGAAGGGAAGGGCGTCATGATCTTCCACAGAACAAAAACAGCACGCAAGAAGGGAAAAGAGGTATGGAAACGGGTTCCGTCGACGGGGCAGATGTGGGCCCCCGTTCATCCACTCCTACTTTTGTTCTTTTTATGTTTTATTTAACGGAATTTACAATATTTATATCTGCAAACTGTTTGTTTCTATTGAGTTTTGGTTTGTTTGGATGAAATATTTTTTCTTTTCTTTTTTAGTAAAATCTTTTATATAATGTTTTTCTATTCTTTGTTGGTGTTTGGTTTATATTTTGAAAATAATTTTTTTATTTATTTAGAAAGATATCAAAAGCAAAAATATATAACAACAAAGAAAAAAGCAAAATAATAATAATAATAATAATAAAATAGAACAATAGGGATCATTTGGTAAAAGTTTTTGTTTGGAACAATTGTATGAAGTAAAATACGAACGCATGTTTAGTAATATTTGTTATGATTAAAATATTACTAAAATGATTCTGAAAAAGAGATCAAAATCATATTCACGAGATTGGTGTTTCTAGCTTATTCCACACTGTAGCAAAAACATTGTGATGATGAATAATACTAAAAAAAAATCTTAAATTATCTTTTTAACTAGTTAATTTATTTTTCAAACTAGCATCTCTTTTTTAACAAATATATTTTCATATTTTTGTTTTCAAAAATTTTACAACAATATAAAGTTGCTAAACATAATTTTCATTACTATTGAACACACTTCAAATTTCGATAGTTATTTCTTTTTCAGATCAAAACAAAAATATGAGTGAAAATAGTTGCCACACAACACATTCCTATTTATTCCTTACATACTCCTCCGTCCCAAAAATAAAAAAATGTCATGTTTGGGACGGAGGGAATAATAGTATATGTATATATTTTGTATAATTTTCTTTTGTTTGGTACAAGTATTATGAGAGAGGTGAGTTCGTTGATGGGGGACTTGCAGAGAGATTGATGATGAGGAGAGGACACTCAATGCTTGGCAGCATCGAGATTGTTCTCGTAGACGAGATCATTTTGAGCACGACACCATGATTTGTGGTTCAGGGTCAAGAGATCGTGGAGACATTTGGGGATAGAGGTGAGGGAGGTTAGATTCTTGAAATTATATAAATGGCCATTTTTTTTTTTTTTTTTTAATGAAGGGTAGATTATGACTGGTTGTTTTTGTTAAAAAAAATATGTTAACCTTTCCACCTGTTTGCTCTTTCACTGAAAATATCATATATTGTACTTTCAGTGAAAATATCATATGAAAGTGTACAGTGGTATCAAACACTTAAAAAAAAATTACAACCAATACTAGTTTAAACAAATAAGAATTTATAGAGTAACTTTTTTATTTTTATTTTTTATAACAATATTATTACTTCCTAACATAACAGAGTTTAAACTAGGGGTGCATACGGTCTGATTTGAACAGTATTAAAAATATTTTGGGACCAAACTATTTATAATGGTTTTACTATTTTTGAAACCAAACTAAATACTCCATCTTCTCTTTTAGAAAAAGAGATGGGACCTATAAGTTGGCAAGTAACTCTCTCTCTCTCATCTCCTAATCTTCTAAATTGTATGAAAAAAACACGTTTATTTGAATGTAAAATATTTTTTAAAAAATATATTTTTTATTTTTTAGTGTATGGTACCTATAAGTTGGCAATTAACTCTCTCTCGCTCATCTCCTAATCTTCTAAATTGTATAAAAAAAGAATATTTATTTGGATGTAAAATATTTTTTAAAAAATATATATTTTATTTTTTAGTGTTTGGTACCTATAAGTTGGCAAGTAACTCTCTCTCTCTCATCTCCTAATCTTCTAAATTGTATGAAAAAAGCACGTTTATTTGGATGTAAAATATTTTTTAAAAAATATATTTTTTACTTTTTAGTGTTTGGCTGTTATAAAATATTTTCGAAGAAAAAAAATATTAAAAACTAATAAAAACTCATCAAATTTTAACAAGTTATTTTATATATTTGGCCTGACAGATTAGACTTTAATCTTGACTTAGACTTCTGTCAAACACCGAATAAGTAAAAATATATATATATATTTTTTAAAAAAATATTTTATGTCGAAATAAATATAGTAATTTTTGTTAAAAATAGTTTAAAGCATTTTACAAGTGAAATCCATTTTATTTAATTCTTAAAAATTATAATAATAATAAAACATTTTAGGAGCCTAATGTTTTTTTTTCGATAATTATAATCTATTAGATTTGATTGATTTCGTTTGCATTATGGTAAGTAGAGTAGACAAACCTCATGAAGTTGTCAACGTAATCTTGAAAGGGACATCCGCATTGGATGATGGAGGTTCTGACATGCACCATTCATTATATATATATATATATATATATATATATATATATATTATGTGTGCCATAGGTGTAGTCGCGTGACCCATTTATTCCCAAGTCGCAATGTAGAGACTGGGAGTCACATGAGTTAGTTTTATGCTCTAAGCACAAAAAGACTACTCGATTATACAATTAATTGCACCCATGTAAGAAGTTGAGAAGCATCTAATATATACAAATCTGACTGAATTTGAAAAGACATATGCATCTAAGTGTGTATAATTAGTCAGAATTCTTTTAATTATAAAGAACAAAAGAGTCATATTCAGTACTTTGGTGGATATACATTTTTTAAGCCATTTTGATTCTTGAAGCTACTGGCTGGGGTTACGTCTTGTGGGGTCCAAATACACATGTTCTGGCCTGGGCCACCCTTAACAGCTCAGCATTGTGATGAATGGGACCACTGTGCATCTAGGTTTTTGGTGGTTCTAAAGAATCAGTTGCTCTGGAAAGGCACGAGAAAATCAGAGAAAGGTCTATCTTTCTTTTTCTTTTTCTTTTTCTCTTCTTTAAGGTCCAACAATTTATTATTTATTTATTTAATTTTTTTATTTCAGTGAAATGGCATTTAGTAGGATTAAGATTTTCCGATTTTTATATATTTTTCGGTTCTATGATTTCTATCCAATGAATTTACATGTCAATTACACCATATTGAGTGGGATGAAAAATTATATATCACACCAAAATTTAAAAGGTTTTGATAATCAAAGTTTCCACAATAATATATGGATAACACAAGATTTCATAATTCATAGTATTTATATGGTTAATGACTATGTATAAATTGATTTAATTTTTCTCAAATTAAAAACTATCTTCCACTTGTGCCTCATTTATGCATTATGCATAAGAGAGATTGTCTGTAACATTTTATATTGTCCCGAGAAAAAAGTTTGATGACAATTGTATGTGAATATTCTTAAATATGTAAAAGCATTCCGAATAAAATCATAAAAATAATACAAAGAAAAGAGTGTGTAAAATGGATAGTAACACCATTTAGTAGGTGGATTGTGACATTATCTCGTATAATATTTACAGTATTTACAGAGGGTGAGTGGGTGGTGACATTATGAGGGACATGTTTAGCAAATTCAGTCTTTTTATAAGAGAAAGATAAAAGAAGAGCAAATTCAGAAACATAAAAGAGCAGCAGAATGCAGCAGTATGGACTGCCTTACAGATAGGCCCATTAAGCATCTGCCAGAAGCATAAGCAAAGGTCAAACTGTGCAGCACATATTGGCTTGTCACTAGACTTCCCTTGGGTGGTAATATTTGACAATATCTGACACGATAAGAAGACACGCACAATAAAAGATGATACGGTAGAAGATGATTTGGGTTTGAACAAATTATATTGGTGCTGTAATCGTGTCGTAATCGTGTCGACACAGAATAATTCGCCGATTAATTAAATGTGTCAGATAAATGTGTCGTATTCGTCAAAAAAATGATTCATTTAATTAAATGTGTAGAATAAATGTGTCATATTCATATAAAAATGACTTAAATATGTCTTTTCGTATCGTGTTAAGTTTTAATACATTTATTAAACGGATTACGTGTATCGTGTTTCGCTTTGTTCATGTTAAATGTCTTGACATGATTAATAATCGTGTCGTATTCATATCGACTCTAATCGTGCCTGTATCGTAATCGTGTGAACACACCAACACGAGTTGCCACCCTCCCCACTACTTTCAACTGCTTAAAAGTAATTTATTAAAAATAATTATGTTTGCGCATATTTGGTAACCATGTTACCAAATTTAAGTAGTTGAAAAGTAGTGTCAAAACTCAAAAGTGGTTACCAACAGACCATTCTCTTCAAAATTCCTTATAGTGTCAAAAGTGGCCTCTTCTAATAGCCAAAACTTCAACATTGGTACTTCTCAGAACTTACAACTTCAGTACTATTTCCTTAAAACTGTCATGGGCTAACAAGCCAAAGGGATTGAATCAAAACCTGTTGTAGTGAGTACGATTCTATCTCTCTCCAAGGTCTCACGTGGATTTCATACTTCAACAGAACATTATTGAAAACAATGTTTACAATTCACACCAGTAGTGCATCTTCCAAATTACTGCAGTTAGTCTCGAACCACATAATTCATTTGGGATTAAGGGGATGATTAAGAGTCTCAACAGTGAACACACATATACACCATTTATAATATTAGTGGAAAAACAAGGGTGAAAATATTAATTTGGAAATGTCCTTTCTTTTTTCCCTCCATATTTCCAACCCTTTCTGAAAATTTTTGATTTCTAATTTAATTAATACAACAATAAAATTATGAAGAAGATTGGAGTTTCAAAAATATTTCTTAGAATAAAGAGACAAACACCACCAACATGCTATAAATGCTGTGTAATACATGCGCAGAAGCACAGAAGCAGCTAAAACAACTACATGACTCTCAGAAAGTGCTTATGATAGATAACAAGTAACACACACTTTTATATACTTTCCATAACATTAACAAGGGTCAGGATTTGGGGCATGCTCGATGAAACAAACTTAACCTCCAATGCAAACGCACCGAGTCCTTCTAATTTAGAAGTCCTTTCCTTCTTTAGCTTTCAATGGAATCAATTAGAGTTTCTTCCAATGGTGTATAACTCCAACCCAGGCTCTGAAATTTCTTTGAACTCAACTCTTCAATTTGCTCCCCCTCACTAAATTTGCCAATAAATAAATAAGTGAATCAAGCTAATATAAAACCATAACTAAAATTTAATTGTACTAATGTTATATTTAGTATTGTTTCATCTGATATTTAATTGTACTAATGCTAACAGGACAACAAATTAATAAGTGAATCAGGTATTTCTTTTATCTTCCTTTTCTTCGCTAAATCTGTGAACCAAACAAATCTTTGAGGAATGTTGCTTGCAATGGACTTACGAAAATATGTTTTCTTCCTTTTTCACACAGGATATTTTGAGCACATCCAAGGTTTGAAAACAATAACAGAGTGTTTCAAAAAGCGTAACCTTCACTTATATTAAACAGTTCATGAACCATCTATAAGCCCCTAAAGAGCCATAGACACAACCAACATGCACAGAAGCATCTAAAACAATCATATAACTCTTAAGAGAGTGCCTATATAACATCAAGTAACATACACTTTCATATCATTTCCTAGGCTATTCAACCCCCACAAATACTAATTAATAAGACACTTATATCATCTATAGTACAGAAAGTCTGAAAATAAAGATTGTCCAGATCGGGGCATGCTTGATGAAACAAACCTAACCTGCAAACGGGCTGAGTGCTTCTAATTCAGAAGTCCATTTTGTTTGTAGCTTTCAATGGAATCAACAAGAGTTTCTTCCAATGGTCTATGACTCCAACCCAACCTCTGCAATTTTTTTGAGCTCAGGTAACTCAATTCCTCAATTTCCTCCCAATCGCAAAATCTGCCAATAGCCATAACCAAAATATAAATGTACTCATGTTATATCTAGGATTGTTCAATTTGTTTCATCTATTATTTAGTTATTTTTGGCAATGTCCTTGAATGAATATTATATATGTGTGTGTATATATTATGATGGCAGACACTTACTTCTTCGGATAATTGTAGTTAGGATACATTCCTTTGAGCATTTCCACCAAATATTTTGTCTTGATTGTGTGAGCATTACATACGTATCTTCCTTCAGCTTCGGGCTTCTCATATAACAATAGCATCGCTTCAACAATATCACGTACATCTACTATTATCCGAACCTTGTTCTCCATTTCCTCATTTCCATCTGGAAGGTCATATAGGAAAAAAAATGCTACTCACAAAATGTTATAACTTTAAATGATATGTAATTCACTGAAAATTAAGCATTTTAATTTAAAATCAATACGACTTGAATAAGAAAAAGATGACTTGTAATAGTAATCAATAAAGCTTGTAAATTTGAAGCAAACTACTAATATTTAGTGGCAAAATTTTAGTGGCAAAATAATCTGTATCATAAATGAAGATAATACCTGCAAAAATGGAAGACATGAACTCCAAGCTACAATATCTGCTAGCAATTTGTTCTAATGCCTGTCTTGACTTTTGGAATGTGACAGAAAAATGTTGAAATATATAATAAGCTTTGTTTGGATTTTGTTTGGGTTATTTAATGAGGTGTCTCTCTTGTATTTGAACTCGATCATAATTTGGGATTTTGGTAGAAGATAACTTATATGTTGCAGCTTCATGTGATTGTTATTTTCGCATTTTTTTCTTGTTGTTTTGGTCCATAAGATCTGTTGCAACAACTCCGAACTAAGTTAAAATCAATATCTGATATGGTGCATCTGGAAGGGCTCAATTAATATGTTAAAAGACCGATGGCCTCAGAGCGTACCCAAACTATTTAGAACAATTGGGAAAGTGTGTGTATGGCAGACCACATACATCTATTTAGATAAGAGAATTATACAGATATGGTACAAGCAGATACCTTTCAAATGCTCAAGGAGAACCAGACTACTAGCATTCATTGAGGACTGCAGCATTGGCCCCAAAACAATGGCTGGACACACACTTACAACATCAAGTCCACTTCTTTTTGCTAACTCAAAAGCCTCACTTTCCGCTACGGTTTTGGCAAAATGATACCAGTTCTGGAACAAACAGAAAACCAATGCTATCGATAAACAGAAATTTAAAAAAAATAAATAAAAAATTCAAAATCAATAGACAATGTATCTATCAGAACCATAAGTTTGTACTTGACTAGTTTAAGTAATTACATTAGTAGTTCTGCAGAATTCTATATCAGACCAACAAGTCTCGTCCTTCAATTGACCCTTGGGCCAGTTAGGGTTCATGGTAACAGCAGCCAACGAGGACATAACCACGACTCGCCTAACACTTGCTTCAGAACATGCCTTGAGTACATTTTGTGTACCCTTTACGGCAGGCTCAATCATTTGCACCTAAAACAATAATGTGAGAGACAAACGAACTCAATCGTATATTAATTCGAAAAACGTGTTTTCAAAAATTGTCAATCAAACAGATTTTTGTACAATTTTTTTTATTTTCAGTTATAGAAAACTAAATCAAGGCCTATATTTTTCTTGCCTCCGGATTTGTGATAGTGCCAATGGGAACTGGACTGGCAAGATGAAACACTCCACTGCAATATTTGATGGGTGGGGAAAGAGAGTTGTAATCAAGCATGTCTGCCTTGAAGAGTTTCAAGTTATCAGATGATTTCTCAAGTTTCTTCAAATGAGAGTACTTCTCATCACCTGCAACATATATTTGAGGGAATTAAAAGAAGCTTGATCAGAATCTTAGGTTTTATTTATTTATTTATTATTAATTTTTTTTTTTATAGATATTTGATTGATTATTTAGTAAAGTGAGAATTAGAGATAAAAGGAGAGAAAAATAAAAATTACTGGGATTTCTGACGGTTCCATTAACAGTGTAGCCTCTGGAGAGTAGAAATTTCACCAGCCACGAAGCTACATAGCCTCCCGCTCCTGTCACACACACTATCTTCTTCTCCGCCATTGATACAAACTTCAGTAGATCTCTCTCCTTTTTGTTCCTTTTAAATACGGAGTGGGGTATAAGCTACTCCGTATTAATGAATATATATATATATATATATATATATATATATATTCTAATATTGTTACTGTGCCACGTCATAGATTCATTAAGAAAGAGAAAATCACAGACCGCCAACAAACCATATTGCTACATCATCGTCAGAGAATAGGACAGACCGACAACCATTTTTATTTATGTAATTTTTTATTTTAATTAATATTTCCCATGGCCCCTGCCCCATCAATATATATATATTTTTGAGAATCTAATTTTTAAATGTTTAATTTTAATATTTTTATAGTACAGGGATAGGGAATGAATTTTCGGATGTTGGGTGCACTGAAGAGTAAATTAAAAATATTAAAAAAAAGAGAGAGTATATTAGATATTTAATTTAGACAATTATTTTGAAATAATCAAGAATAAAAAGATAAGACTTTTTTTTAATAATAACACCTCCATTTATATGTTCCGAATTTCAATCTTCAACGAGAACTATTGTCGTGTTAATTACTACGTTGTGCATCGGTGATCTAATATTGAAGTATAAAAAATAAATGGTCCTACTCATTTTTTTTTGAGAAAAATATTGGATGCGCCAAATATGTCATGTTATTAGTATCATATACTCCTTTGTATCATATACCTCTTTGGGTATTTTTGGAAGAGAGCAGAAGGGGTATTATAACACTAATTTATGTCAGAGTGGATATTTTTGCACAACGTGAAAAAATTATTGATATTTTTGCATACTTTTTTTAAATAGGAGGTAAAAACTATGCAGAGTATATTTTAGGGATTATTTCTGCACTTATTCCTCCTTTAATAAGTTAGTTTTTTAATTAATAAATAATTGCTCAAATAAATTTTATATTTCAGTTATATAATGTATTTGATGTAATTTTGAAGCATATTTGATAATAAAATAAATATTTTTATTTATTATTTAAACAAAGACAAAAAAAATATAATATTATTTATATTCGAAATTTCATTTTAAATCCAACTTTAAATTTATTTTAATTCCAATTCCTTTTAAATATTTTTATTTATTATTTAAACAAAGACAAAAATAATATAATATTATTTTTATTCGAAATCCTATTTTAAATCCAACTCAGAATTCATTTTAATTCCAATTCCTTTTATAATTCCGATTACTTTTTCAAATCCTAAAATAATTGATTCCAAACAATATATATATATATGAAACCCTAACACCCTAATTACCTCTCGGTGCAGTGATATCATGATCTCAACACAATTGTTGTTAATGAAGAAATAAATCAATGTTTTGACTGCAAAATCCCATTTTTGAAGTGCAAGTTGAGGTATGGCTATGAAGGTAGACGAGTTATCACCAATCTTTCCGTCCGATCTGATGATGGAGATACAGTCGAGCTACCGGTCAAGTCTATTGCACGGTTCAAGTCTGTATCCAAGTCTTGGCTCACCGTCTTCACACATCCTCACTTCGTCAAGCTTCACCTTGCTCGATCTAGCAAATTCAAAATCGTCCTTACCCCTTCGCCCAATTTGCCCATGGTCCTCATCCAAAGAGGAGCCTTTATGTCTTGTCTTTTGGCCGCAGCGGTGAAGCTTCATCGTGTGATGATGGAGATAAACCAATTGACATCTTTGATCATAATCATAAGAAATAGTTGGTCAGAATCGTCGGCTCTTGCCGTGGCTTGCTATTATGTTATAGTTTGTATTCATAGTCGCAATACTTGGTGAATCCATCAACCAGAGAAGTGATCAGATTGCAAGACTCACCATTTAACCCGCCTACTTTTGCAGCACGTGGATTTGGCTATGATTCATCCGATGAAGACTACAAGGTTGTTCAAATCTCCAACCCTTCTCCCGGCGAAATCATTACCAGTTTATATTCACATAAATCAAATTTGTGGAGTACAATTCCAGATGTTCCTCTCTTAATGTCCTTTTCCTGGATCATCCTTATATCACTTACTGTATGTGAAATATCAGGGCGAGTGCAAACCATTGCATACATCAAACTCCAACTGTACTAGCATAAGGAATACGTGACACGTATTCCGTCTCCTCTTCGAACTATGGTGGTGAAGCTGTAGAAAGACGAAAAATGAGCAACTAGTGGTGATAGGAACTCCATCCGATCTTAAATTCTTGAAGAGTTTTCTTTCTCTACCTCGTTTAAAGGTACGAAAGGTATATAGGTCGATCCTTACCAACTCCACCAACATCAGTCACTTTTAGTGAACACGAGTGATCAATACGCGATCCCTGATTATCAAAATTCAATACTCTCTTTCTTGGGTATGTTGAAAACTCCTCCACTAGAATCCTCTTCGGACTCTTATTCCTCGATTGTTTTCTTTAGGAGAACAACTGAAATCTTGGTCCCTTTATACAGTGACCTAAAACACACTCCTACATTCTTTCTTCGCTTATACTTCTAAAAATAGGATCTTCTCCAATCCAGGTGGGGTATTCCTGAATGGAAATCTACACTAGCACAGTCAAGATAGTACTAAATTGACTTCTTTTAGTTTATCTGAAGAAAAATTCGGGTCTGTTCCATTACCTGACAACTTGATATTCTCATATGAGAAAGAAGCTTTGATTGGAATAGTGAAAGGATGCCTTTCCTACCACGCTAATGGCATCAAGTGTTGTTGGGTGATGCAGGAATATGGCGTAAAAGAGTCTTGGACTAAATTTGAATTTTATGTTGAGACTTGAGACAGGTTTTACCTTCAAGTCTTTGGATTTCATATACAATGATGAAAATATGTTTGTCATCGATAATGCCGAGTTTGTTATGTGCAATCTACAAGAAGAAACAACATTTCGGTTCGTGGATCATCACAATAGCCCCTATCACAATACTCTCTATCTTTCCTCCGGCGATGGTGAAGCGGTGGCTTGTTTGGAGAGTTTGGAGAGTGTTGTTACGCCTGTGCTTTAATTTATATTGTTTAACCCATATATAATATGGGTTACTTTATTTTTGGCTACTTTTGTTATTGAATTTTCTTTTCAAAACACCCTACTACACTACTATGAATATTTTCCTTTCATATGAAAGGCACTGATCTTTCATACGAAAGGCACTGATCTTTCATACGAAAGGCTGAGATTTATACAGGACTTATTTGGCTTTCAATAAAGATCATTATTTTATGCACTACTACAATTGTTTGAATAATTTTCTTTCATATGAAAGACTAGGATTTATACCCAACTGAGAAAGCATTTAATGTATTAATTTGAAAACCTGTTTGATAACGTTTTAATTTTAAATACTGAATTCATTGAGATTGTTTGTTATATACAAAAGTTGAAGTAAAATTGTATATATTAAATTTTTGCTCTTAATATCTGATACTCATAATAGTTTTATATTTATAATACAAAAATATTAATAAAACAATCACATTCAGTCAATGAAATATATCAATTTAACAATGAATACTAATGTCAAATATAATCATAAAAAAATATAAATTCAAACTTAAATAATTAACAATTTTCAAGCCATACTCATTAAAAAATGTAAATGTCTCAAAAATGTTACATTAAACTAAACATATAAAATTTTAAATTCAAGATCTAAACGAGTCATTTTCAATTTCTTTACGCAAATTAACCATAAACACTTGACCGGATTGTCTTTCTGTGGTGTGAATTTCAGAGGATGTCAAATTTCGAGCAATATTAGGTGGAGTCTCAAATTGCAAATTCTCAATCCCATACTGTTCAAAAAGTTCATAATATTCCTTTGCACTTCAAATGTATAAGGTGTACGATAAGGTACCATAAATCTTCGGGGTGTGTGTGTATGTAGCATCACACAAATAATATTTATCTACAATGTAATATGTTTAAAATGATTAATAAAGTATATGATAAGTAAATTTTTTTTTTTTCTGCATGATAAATAAATATTCAAAAATATTATTACTAAAAAAATAATAGTAAAAACACCTAACTTGGTGGAGGATATGGAAAATTGTTATATAAATAATTATTTTCTATTTATCGTGAATCAATATGAATATGAATGGTAACAGTTTAAAATATAAATAATTACATAATATTTATGTAGGGTATAAAATGGTGTTAACAATATTAAAGAAAGTATGTGAAATTGAATAAAATTCTTATATAAATAATTATTTTCTATATATAGTGAATCAATATGAATGGTAATAGTTTAAAATATATCAATATCAACATTAGGTAGAATTATGTTTTTTATTTTTTTGGAATTTGTTTCATGTAATTCATTTTCATTAGCAACAATAAGCAACTAAATATATATGAATCAATTTAAATATAACCAAAAGGCCATTTGTCGTGTTTAAAATATTATAGGTAAAATATTCTATCATGTAAAAGTAACAAAAACAAATAATAAAATACAATCACGAAATATATATAGAAGAGTTTTTCAAAGGAGAGAACTCACCTTATTTTCAGACGCAGAGAGAAATCACAGAGAGGAGTCTAAAGAAATGGTAGAGAGGCCCTAGAGAAATCGTAGACAAAAACCCCAGAAGAGAGAATGCAATTATATGAGGGTAGAACAGTCATTAGAAATTTATTATTTAAACCCAATCAGTTAGGGTGTTCTGCGATAAGCTATAACATATAAGCAACCTTTTCAACCCTTAAAATTTTGGCCTCTTTTAAGCGGTAATTACCATATTAAGTGGTGTCCTAAAATTTTATCAAACATGCTTATTTTTAAAAAACACTTACTGTCTTCTGCATTCAGCGTTAAATTGAAAAATCAAAACGGACCCTAAGATTTATGCAGGGAGGAGAATTCTAGCCCTTCATATGAAAGGGTAAGATTTATACAGACTTTCATATTTATTGAAAGGAGGAGAATTCTAGAATATTAAAAAAATTGACAAAGCTGAATTGGCTTATCAATTTAAATAATTTTTTTTTCATTACGTGGAAGTAGAATAAAATTTTTGAATCAAAATCACCGCCCGAACCAAAAAGTTACTGATCGCATATGAAAGGCTAATATTTATACAGGGAGGAGAATTAATAAAATTTTTAAATCAAAATCACCGCCCGAACCAGAAAGTTGCAGGAATCAATGGTCTTTCATATAAAGCATCATTTGGACGGTCAGAGTGACAGAGAACTAATACAGTACTACACAACATTAAACACAGAGAGCGACAAAGAACTCAATATTGCCCCAAAGTGGGCCTTATGAGATACAAAATGCGGTCCAAAGTATAGCAGTTTCCCTTGTCTTTCAAGTTACATCTTGGGCCCAATTTTGACCAGAAAGGTTCCAGGCTTCAAGCCCAACCCAACCACCAGTTTAATTACTGAAAATGATGTTTTACAATTCACAACAACAATGCATCTTCCAAATTCCTGCAGTTAGTCACAAACCATCTGAAAATGCTTAAGTATTAACAATTTAAGCCTCATTTTTCATTAACATACATTCAATCAGCTTTTCATACCCCTATATTTGACATATCTATATACATTCCCTTTTCGTACTGCCATTCACCCCCTGTATTACATAAAATTAGCAGGGTGAATGTGCCACGGTGCCCAACGAATTTGGAACTTCCTACTCTAAAATCAATTCGCATACTATACAAATAATACAAAATACAATTTAATAAAAATCACTTAGGTTCAGTTTGTTTTGATGTAAAATATTTTTTTGAAAAGAATATAAAATTTTTATTTTCTGTGTTTGGTTGTCAATATATTTTACTTAAAAAAAATATTTTACCAAGGAACAAACGAAAATATCAGAAAAAATTAATAACTATGAAAGGGAAGGGTGAAAATTCTACACACACCCACACCCACACCCGCACCCGCACCCGCACCCGCACCCATATTTCCAACCAATTTTGTTTTCTAATTTTATTCTATTTTAATAAAATTATGAATAAGATTGGTATTTCTTTTATCTTCATATTCCTCACAAAATATGTGAACCAAACAAAGCTTTGAGGATGATTGCTTGCAATGGAATTTCAAAAATATGTTTCACTTATAAAACAATTATCTGTTTTCAGTACAAAAAAAATTGTTTGATTTTAGTTTTTTGAAAACTATTTTTGAAAAATTCAATTATAAAAGGGGCAAATTACATAAAGGACCCCTCTGGTTTTCATCTTGTACATGTAGACAGAAGATGCCACAATATAACAGAAACTGTTTGTGGTTAATGGATTGATATGAATTTACATTTTTGTCCTTAGAGTTAAACTATTTGTTTAATGAAAAAATCTAAATTTTTTTTGTGTATTATTAAAGTTACGATTTTACCCCTAAAACTCTTTCAATTTCTTTCCTCTTACAAAAACATGTTTCTCTCTCTTATCTCTCTGTATTAACCCGAAAGGCAACCTCATCTTTCGAGTTCATTCGTACAGCACCAAGCCCCAACTCGTTCTCATGTATCCCTCCGGCCACTGCCTCCTATATTCTTATGTCCATCACTGGTACTTCATCAAAAGTCGATCCGGCCGACCCTTGTGATACTGCCGGTGGTGCTCGAACTGGGCCTTTGAGGCCATCGTCGCTTGTGATTTGTAGCCGCTGATCCGAACTCGCCTGGCCACTGCCACCTCCACCTCTACCTCCAACTCCAATACACAACCCAAAACGATCCGGCCGACGTACCCTGATTCACCCTTCGCAGTCACCGTGTGTGTGTGTGTGTGTATATATATATATATATATATGGATGGATGAGATTGATGTGTGTGTGTGTGTGTGTATATATATAGATAGATATTTATGTGTGTAATTATATGTGGATGCAGGGGCGGAGCCAGGATTTCATTTGAGAGGGGGCGTAGTGTATTTGACGAAAAAAAAAAAAAACTCAACTAACATTCTAATTTGTTTTTTCATATCAAAAGGCAAACAAAAAAAATCATAGCAAAATCACAAAATTTTCAAGTAGTGATTTAATTAAATATGAATATTGATTTAAGGTACAACAAAAAATTACCTACGCATGCTGAGATAACGGTTGAATTTTGAGCCATCGGAAAGCAATCATACTCCATCTCCAAGTCCAAGCACTTTGTGAATCCTAGAACCAAAGAAAATAAGATTTTGTTTAATTATTTTAATCTTAAACTAACAAGCAAATTAACAAGATGTTTTTCGGTAATGAGAAAGAAAAATTCAAATTAATAAAATAATTTATTGTTCAACTGAAAAAGGACAAAGTTAAAATGTTTGACAAATATAAGAAACAAAATATAGATTTTTGATAGTATTTCCATTCAATACATTACAATTGTCCTCGACGGGATTTCATTTTTTGGAAGCGTTGTATGATAGCTTCATTATCTATGCTCCTAAATATCTCTCTTTCTACATATACAACCAAGTTATCATTCATAAATTGATCTCCCATTCGATTACGCAATTCATTCTTTACAATATTCATAGCAGAAAATGTTCTTTCCACCGTGGCAATCACAACTGGTAAGATCAACGCCAATGTCACAAGTCAATACACCAACGGATACACCTTGTCCTTTTTTGCCTTTACCATTTTTTTTGCAAGAGTAGAAATCCCTTTCAATCCTTCAAAGCTACTAGTAGAGCGCACATCAATAATATAATTCGCAAGTTGACTATCAAGTTCTCTAAGCTTGACTGTAGAAAATTCTTTTGGATAATATTCAGCAAAACGAATTATTTTTTGTTTGTCAAAAGTAAGGAATGAATCATCTGGACATAAACATGACATACAAAGAAGTAACTCAGAACTAGCCTCACTAAAACGACTATTTAGCTCTTGAAGTTGCATATCTATCACCGAATAAAACAACTCAACACGATAGTAACGCAAGTTTGTCATTTCTTCCATCTTACGTCGTCGTCGTCCTTGAGCAAAGAACTTATCATCCATATTGGGAACATCAATCCCATATCTCTCACAAAATGAAGAAACTTCTTCGAGTAAAGAATCCCATCCATCCTCCCTCGTCATTTGTAGTCGCTGCTTACATACTTTGACTAAAGACATAGCATTCACGATATCTTGATCTTTCCTTTGTAGTGCTTTTGATAATTCATTTGTCATTTCCAACACTGTCGTCATCAAATGAAGACTGAATACAAAATTAAAGGATTGTATTGTCCCAAGTAGAATAGTTGTTTTACCTCTTTGGTCGGATCTAAATCCATCCCCTTCGATAATCTCGAGAACATCAATTATATATGAGAACATTGTAATTAAACTCATTAAAGTACCATAATGTGACCCCCAACGAGTGTCTCCCGGCCGTATAAGAGAAGTGCTTTGATTTAGGCCTTGCCCACTTGAAAGCTCGCCATTGTTAAGTCTTTCAATAACTTTAACAATTTGTTTCTCTCGAAGCATATCACGGCGTTTACAAGATGCTTCAACTACATTCACCACATTAGTAACAAATAAGAAAAAAGTGAAAATTTGGCTATGATTCTTTGCCACAGCAACAAGAGCCAACTGAAGTTGGTGAGCAAAGCAATGAACAAAAAAAAAAAAAAAATTCGTTCTATTTCAAAATAAGCGTTTTGAGACGTTGAACTCGCCTTGCATATTGCTAGCCCCATCATAACCTTGCCTACTCAGTCTAGAAATGCTCAATCAATGTGTAGAAAATACATTATCAATCGCTGCCTTAAGTGAGAGAGCAGTTGCATCCCTAACATGTACCATACCAATAAAATGCTCAATGATACTCCCATTCTTCACATAACGTAACACAATAGCCATTTGCTCCTTTATTGATACATCACGAGACTCATCAATTAAAATAGAGAAAAATGCATCTCTAATAATAAAATTGATGATCTCTGTTGAAATGGAATTAATAATTTCTTTTTGGATCTCATGTAACGTTAATTTCAAATTTGCAGGAGCATTTTCCAATACAACGGCTTTTACATCTTTATTGTGATCAGCATGAAATCTCAAAAGTGTAAGAAAGTTCCCTTGATTGTTTGAATCCTCAGATTCATCATGTCCACGAAATGCAAGTCTTTGGTGTAAAAGATATCGGATACATTCAATTGATGCAGTTAAACGAGTTCGATATTCAATTCTAGCTTGGTCTGTTTGCTTGTAGAAAATTGTTGGAATGTGTTGATTTTGGTTCATCAAAGCTTCACAAGATCTCCAAGCTTGGTTGTGGAGAATATTAGGGCCTCCAACATGAATTTTGAGTCTTTCACTCTTCTTCCAATTTGAAAACCCCTCACCCACAAAGGAGTCACCTCCCGATTGTTCTCCAATATCAGGCTTGAAAAGGAAACAACATAGGCAAAATGCCGCATCTTTGCCTATGCTATATTCTAGCCAATTAGAATAAGCACTAAACCAAGCAGGGTTGAAACGACGTGTCCCTTTTCCGAAATTTCTACAAGGAAATTTATGAGTCACAGGCTGAAAAGGGCCCTTTAGATAATATGCTCTACGGAGCTTGTCTCGAATATTAGGATGATAATTCATTATTCGAGTTCGCAGTCCTAGATCTGCTGGAAGATCATCAAAGTTGACGTCGATACGACTTTGCTTTAAACTTTCATCATTTATTCTCTCTACAAGGGGTGTCAACTGTGATTTTCTTTTAAATATTTGATCAATTTTCTGCATAATTGTTTTAAAAAGAAATATATTATTCACGAATCACGCAAAAAATTGGTTGTAAACTTGTAATTGTAAATTGCAATTACTGAGTCCATATATCATATTAACTAATAACTATTAAACATACAACATATTGTATACTGCATACATGTCAATTTTCCAATGTGCAAATCAACTGCTTAGTTTCCTGACTCCCCTTTAATATATTTTATGGGACAAATGAACAATAAACATTGTAAATTGCAACCATAATTTTTAGAAATTGAAACCCTAAACATTAGTAAATTGGAACCATAATTTTTGAAATTGAAACCCTCAAACCCAAAATCGTTGACACATAGCACAAAAAAACCACATATTGCAAAAAAAAAAAAAAAAAAAAAAATAATAATAATAATAAAAACGAAAAAAAAAACGAACTAAATTATGTAAATTGTATAATTGTATATATTGTATATATATAAAAAAGTTTTACCTATAAATTGTATAAAACAAATTAGGTATCTAAATTGTATAAAATAAAATAAAATAAATTTTACTTGTAAATGATGTAAATCAAAGAGTGGATCTTTGATCTTTCCTCCCGGACCTCCCGAGTCCTGACTCTATCGCAAACACTGAGATCTAGAATTTCTTTCCAAAACTAGATGAAAACAGAGTTAACTTATGCTTTCTGCTATCTGGAGTTACGGAATAAAGAATGCAAAAGTTGTTTTCCAAATAAAGCAAAAAGTATCACAAGTATTAATGTATCATTGAGTGGAGAAAAAGTCATTCAATTATTAAAATATTATTTATATCAATATAAAATAAAAAGTATGAAAGCACATGGAGCCTGGAGACGAATCAGGTGTATTAAATTTATTTATTTTTATTATTATTATTTTTTTCTTTAGTGGGGGCATATTTAAACTTTTAAGAATATATATATATAATAATACTATTTTTTTTTTTTTTGAGTGGGGGCATGTGCCCCCCCTGGGCACATGCTCCCTCCGCCCTTGTGTGGATGAGATTGATGGGTGAAGTTGAGGGGTGAATTGGTTGATGGTTGTCGGAGGAGGAGGAAGAAGAAGAAGGGAGAGGTGTATGTGGGGGTCGCGGCACCATAGCACCACACCATAGTACCACACCGACGTCGCCTCCACCACTAACCCCAAACCCACAATTAGCAGTAGAAATCAATTGAAGAGATAACCACCGGGCCTCCACTGTGCCACCATCCCATTGTTTTAACTGCCACCACCTTACAACCACTGCAATGCCACCATCCCCACTATCCCTAAACCTACAATCGGCAGCAGAAATCGATGGAGAAAAAAAATGGAGGCGCCGCCGTCGCTGTCACCGTCACCACCACTGATTCCTCCACCGTCAAAACCCTCTCCAAGGGGCAAAATTGTAACTTTAACATACATGAAAAAATTTAGATTTTTTCATTAAACAAATAGTTTAACTCTAAAGACAAAAATGTAAATTCATATTAATTCACTAATCACAAACAGTTAATTTAGGGGCCTTTATGTTATATTGTGGCATCTTCTATCTACATGTATAAGATGAAAACTTGAGGGGTCCTTTGTGTAATTTGCCTTTATAAAAGAGAGTTATCTAATACAGTTTTCTAGTGACAAATCAAACAGTTTCTTTCTATTTCACAGGAGATTTCGACCATATCAAAAGTTTTGGAAACAAGAACAGATCGAGTGGTTGAAAAAGGGTAACCTTCACTCATATTAAAGGGCTGCAACTTGGGCGGGCCAACCTAGCCCAACCAAGATATGTTGAAATTGGGGCTTAAAATTCACAAATTGGGTTCATGTTTGGGTTGGGTTTTGTCTAAACCTAGACATATTCGGGTTGGGCTCTGGCTCAACTCGAACCCAACCCAAAACCCAAAATAATTTTTTTTCTCCTTTCTCTCTACTTTCTCTTCTTTCTCTTTCTCTCTCTGCTGCCGTCCCCTTAGCCGCCATCCCTCGCCCTTAGCCGCCGATCTACCGCCGCTACCGTCCCTCCGCCTCTGCCTCTGCTGCCGCTTTCGTCACTTCCAAAAATTAAAACAAAACCCATACATACAAGTTAGCAGTTGCACAGAGAGAGGGGGCAAGCTTGAGAGTTGAGAGACAGCGGCTGAAGCTTGCGAACGGCGAACTCGAACTGAAACAGCGGGCGATGGAAACTGAAAGATATGGGTTTTGATTTTTTAAACAATCTGAAATGATATGCCGATATGGGTTTTGATTTTTTGAACAATCTGAAATGATATGCCAATATGGGTTTTGATATAGGTAGATAAATTGAAATATATGGGTTTTCAACTTCTTATTGAAATATATGAACTTTTGATTCTTGCAGACAGATAGATAAATTGAAATATATGGGTTTTCAACTTCTTATTCTTGTTGATTTTGTAGTTTGCAGTTGCGTAGAGAGAGAGGGGGGGGGGGGGGGGGGGGCAATTTTAGAGTTGAGAATGAGAATAGAGATGGAGGCGATTGGGGAGGCTCAAATGATTTGCCCTAAAAAAATATATATATTTTTAATAATAATATAATCAAATATATATAATATATAAATTTCCCAAAAAAGGAAAAAAATTATGATAAAAAAAACTCAACCCGTCAACCCGATCCAACCCCTCCGAAAATATTCGGTCCGAGTTATGACCACAACTCATCTTGGATACAATTCGAACTGGCCCAACCCAATCCGATTCGGGTTGAGGTTGGATTGGGGCTGGGCTGGGTTGGGCCAGCCCAACTTACTGCCCTATTTAAACAGCTCATAAACCATCCATAAGCTCCTAAGATACACAAACACCCCCCAACATGCCATAAACGCCCTGGCGAACAAGCACAGAAGCAGCTAAAACAACTACATGGTTCTTAGAAAGCACCTAACATACACTTTTATATCATTTCCATAGGGTCTGGATTTGAGTCATGCTTGATGAAACAAACTTAACCTGCAAACCGTGTCGAGTGCTTCTAATCCAGAAGTCCATTCTGTTTGTAGCTTTCAATGGAATCAACAAGAGTTTCTTCCAATGCTTTATAACTCAAACCCAGCCTCTGCAATTTCTTTGAACTCAACTCTTCCGTTTCCTCCCCTCACGAAATCTACCCAATAAATAAACAAGTGAATCAAGCTAATATAAACAGTGCATAAGTAATTTAGTTTTTTACATTGGCGATATACCATAACCAAAATTTAATTGTACTAATGCTATTTCTAGTATTGTTTCATCCATTATTTGATTTTACTAATGCTAACAGGACAAAAGATTGGTAATATCCTTTAATGAATTTTATATGTGTGTGTTTGTGTGTATTGTGATGCCAGACACTTACTTCTTGGGTTCTTGGGATAATTGTAGTTAGGATAGATTGCCTTGAGCATTTCCACCAAATCCTGTGTCTTGATTGTGTGAGCATTACATATATATCTTCCTTCAGCTTCGGGCTTCTCATATACCAATAGCAGCGCTTCAGCAACATCACGTACGTCTACTATTATCCGAACCTTGTTCTCCACTTCCTCATATCTGCTATGTACAATATCTGCTAGCAATTTGCTCTAATGCCTTTTGGAATGTGATTGAATAATGTTCAAATATATAATCTAAAAAGCATTGTGCACAACATATTGACCATCTGGTAGCTTCTTTCGTTTCTTTTCCTTCTTTGTCAGGGTGCAAATGAATCGAGCTGTTCATGGACAACCCGGAACCTTTTTGTATGTATTTTGTTTGGGTTATTTTATGAGGTTTGTTTCTTCTTCTTCTTCTTTGTTTTTTTAATCATAATTTGGGATTTTGGTAGAAAAGAACTTATTTGTTGCAGCTTCATGTGATTGTTATATTTGCATTTGTTTTCTTGTCGTTTTGATCCTTAAGATCTGTTGCAATAACTCCCAACTCACTGTCAGAATCAATATATGATATAGTGCATTTAGCAGAGCTCAGTTAATATGTCCAAATGGCCTCAGAGCTTACCCAAACTCAGCCTCATTTTCGGAGGTCCAATACTATTGAAAACAACTGGGACATTGTGTGTGTGTATGACAGACCACAGACATCTACTTTAGATAAGATAATTATATAGATATGGTACAAGCAGATACCTTTCAAAAGCTTAAGGAGAACCAGACTACTAGCATTCACTGTGGACTGAAGCAATGGCCCCAAAACAACGAATGGACACACACTTACAACATCAAGTCCACTCCTTTTTGCAAACTCAAAAGCCTCACTTTCTGCTAAAGTCTTTGAAAGACAATACCAGTTCTGGAACAAACAGATAACCAAGCTGTGATCAGTATAACTATAAACACGAAATAACTATTAAAAATAAAATAAAATCGATCTATTGTAATAACACTGTATATATAACTATGTAAGTTTATACTTGACTTATTTAACAAATTACATTAGTAGTTCTGCAGTATTCTGTATCAGACCAACAAGTCTCGTCCTTCACTTGACCCTTGGGCCAGTTAGGGTTCAGGAGAACAGCAGCTACCGAGGACACAACCACAACTCGCTTAACACTTGCTTCAGAACATGCCTTGAGTACATTTAGCGTACCCTTTACAGCAGGCTCAATCAATTCTACCTGCAACAGAGCTATTATTAGATAATGAGAGAGAGAGAGACTGCTATTGATATTTTAATAAAAATATAAATTATATTTAATATAATAATATTGTTATATATAATTCTATAATAATATTATCATATTGTTTATTGTGTTCAAGTTCAAATTTGCTTGTCTTATTATCAATTTTGATGTTTAGAAATTGTGTATATAATTCTCTATGTGATTATTTCTTTAATCTCCTATAAATTGTAAAATTGATGTTCATTCTCATTCTAATAAAGTTCAAATTTTAATTTTGATTGTCATTATGTTAAATGATAAATTCTCTACGTATTATGTTCAAATTGGGTAATAAAATACACGAAAATTCCCCAACAGAATGAAATTTCATGTCAATTTTTTAGTTTGGAAAAAAATTAGTTAAATTTCTTGCCTCGGGATTTGTCACACTGCCAGGGGGAACTGGACAGGCAAGATGAAACACTCCACTGAAATCTTTGATGGCTGGAAAAAGAGAGTTGTAATCCAGCAGGTCTGCCTTGAAGAGTTTTAAGTAATCAGAGTCATCACCTGCAACATATGTTTGAAGATTTTAATAAAATTTATATAAAGTGGAAAACATTGATTTATACTGGCTCTGTCCTAAAAAAAAAATCTTTTGTTTGAAGAACTGTGACTCATAATTATAAGATTAACTTGAGTAATGATGAAAGAGAGAGAAATAAAAATTACTGGGATTTCTGACGGTTCCATGAACAGTGTAGCCTCTGGAGAGTAGAAGCTTGACTAGCCATGAAGCTATAAAGCCTCCCGCTCCTGTCACACACGCTATCTTCTTCTCTGCCATTTCACACAAATAAACCTCTCTCTTCTTCGTGTTCCTTTTAAATACTCCATATATATTAGCCATGTAACAAGAAAAACCCATCCTAATCTTCTCACTCACTCTCACGTCACAGGCTCAGTAAGTGTGATGACCCTGTGTGCGGGTGTGTTGTGGGCGGGTGTGAAAGACACTGTCGAACTATCACACTGGTGAGTTATGGATGCATAGTCCCACATCGCCTGGGAAAGAAAAAGGTGAAGTGTTTATATATAAGTGTGTCATTTTCAATTGGTATGAGGCCTTTTGGATAAAGATCAAGAGCAAAACCGTGCAGGCTCAGGCCCAAAGCGGACAATATCATACCATGTGGGGAAGCGGGTCGTTACAAATGGTCTGACCTAGTCCAAAGCGGATAATACCATACTATGTAGAACATATTGCTACATCGTTCCAGAAGTTGCATTTGATTGTGGCCCCACTAAACTCTTTCCTATATGTTTAGATGACGTCCTAAACCTTTTTACTGCTTTGATGAGGGGGCACAAAGAAAAAATAATAATAAACACAAACTCCTAATCTAAGAAAATATCATATGAAGATGCGCAAATATTATTGTTGTGAAAAAGATTGCTTACAACAATTATGTTACAAGAAACTAATAATGATAAGACATCTAATCTAACAATTTGAGAAATCATCGAGTAACTCAATGATGGCATTTTTTATTTTATGGGTCTTGAATATTTTGTTTACAATTCACACCAGCAGTGAATTTTCCAAATTCTTGCAGTTAGCCTCGACACACATTCATATAGGATTAAGGCGAAACAAACAATAAAATTATGTCTCACACACATTCATATTGGTATTTCTTTTGTCTTCCTTTACCTCACTAAGTATGTGAACCAAACAAAGCTTTAACGATATATGGTTGCTTGCAATGGACATTTACAGCACATCCAAGGTTTTGAAAACAAGAACAGAGTGTTCCAAAAAGGGTAACCTCCACTTCTATTAAAGAGCTCATGAACAATCATCCATAAGCCCCTAAAGAGATACAAACACCACCATCATGCATAGAAGCAACCAAAACAACTATATGTCTCTTAGATAGAGCCTACATAACAAGTACCATACATTTATATATCCTTTCCATAGCATTAACAAGGGTCCGGGTTTGGGGCATGCTTGACGAAACAAACTTAACCTCCAATGCAAAAGCGCCAAATGCTTCTAATCCAGAATTCCATTCTGTTTGTAGCTTTCAATGGAATCGACAAGAGTTTCTTCCAATGGTCTATAACTCCAACCCAGCATCTGCAGTTTCTTTGAACTCATGTAACTCAACTCTTCTATTTCGTCCCACGCAAAAAACCTGCCAATAAATAAACAAGTGAATCATGCTAATATAAAACCATAACTAAAATTTAATCGTGCTAATGTTCTATCTAGTATTGCTTCATCTATTAATTAATTTTATTAATGCTTACAGGGTAAAAGATCCTCTTATGAGTATTTTTTCAATTATTTTTGGTAATGCCATATAATGAATTTTGAATGTGTGTGTATTGTGTGATGCCAGACACTTACTTCTTGGGATAATTGTAGTTAGGATATATTCCTTTGAGAATTTCCACCAAATCTTGCATCTTGGTCTTGTGAGGAGCACATATGTATCTTCCTTCAGCTTCAGGCTTCTCATATGTCAATAGCAGCGCTTCAGCAACATCGTGTACATCTACTATTATCCGAAGCCTGTTCTCCATTTCCTCATATCCTTCTGTAAGGTCATGTAGTAAAAATGCCACTCAGAAAGTATTAGAACTGTAAATGTTATGTGATTCACTGTAAAATATGCTAAGGAAAACCAATATGACTAGGAAAAAGAAGAAGATGACTTGTACTAATAATCAGTTTGTAAATTTGAAACAAACTACTGAGATCAATTGTCTAATAATCTGTATTACAAATGAAGACAATACCCTGCAAAAATGGAAGACATGAACTCCAAGCTATGTAAAAAATCTACTGACTTTTGCAATGTGATTGAAAAATGTTGAAATACATAATCTGAAAGGCTTTGTCTGGTAGAAGATAACTTATTTGTTGTGCGCTTCATGTGATTGCAATTTTTGCATTTTTTTTCTTCTTGTTTTGATCCTTAAGATCTATTGCAACAGCTCCGAACTCACTAAGTTAAAACCAATATATGATAAGTGCATTTGAAAGAACTCAATTAATATGTCCAAAGATCGATGGCCTTAGAGCTTACCCAAACTCAGCTTCATTTTTGGAGGTCCAATACTATTGAAATTCGATTAGGATATTGTGCGTGAGTGTGTGTATGGCAGACCACATACATCTACATAGATGGGATAAGTAGATAGATATGGTACAGGCAGATACCTTTCAAAATATTAACGAGAAACTGACTACTAGCATTCATTGAGGACTGCAGCATTGGCCCCAAAACAACGGATGGGCACACACTTACAACATCAAGTCCACTTCTTTTTGCAAACTCAAAAGCCTCACTTTCTGCTACAGTTTTGGAAACACAATACCAGTTCTGGAACAAACAGAAAACCAAGGCTGTCAAAATCAAAATCAATAGACAAGCTACTGTAATGGCAATGTATCTATAAGAACTCTAAGTTTATCCTTGATTTATTTAAGTAATTACATTAGTAGTTTTGCAGTATTCTACATCAGACCAACAAGTCTCGTCCTTCACTTGACCCTTGGGCCAGTTAGGGTTCATGACAACAGCAGCTACCGAGGACACAACCACAACTCGCTTAATACTTGCTTCAGAACATGCCTTAAGTACATTTTGCGTACCCTTTACTGCAGGCTCAATCAATTCTACCTACAACAAAGCTATTATTAGATAATGTGAGAGATAAACGAATCGCCTAATGCATAATTCAGAAAACAGTTTTTTTGAAAACCAAACTGATTTCTGTACTACTTTTTTTTTTTTTTTTTTTTTTTTTGCATTTATTAGAAAACTAGAAAACCGTTCTAAGAAACTAAACCAAGCACGCCCTATATATTTATGAGTGCATTTGATTCTAATGAACAAGTGGCATCTCGATATTTTCTTGCCTCAGGATTTGTCACACTGCTAAAGGGAACTGGACTGGCAACATGAAACACTCCACTGCATTCTGTGATGGCTGGATAGAGAGAGTTGTAATCCAGCAGGTCTGCCTTGAAGAGTATTAAGTTGTCAGATGCTTTCTCAAGTTTCTTCAAATGTGAGTACTTCTCATCACCTGCAAAATATATTTGAGGGAAGTTAAAAGAAGCTTGACCAGAATCTTAGCTGAATGAGTAGGATTCATATCGATATTTCATTAATGTGTTCCTCTAAAATAAAAAATCGTAATAAACATTTATGTATTTAGATTGCCTGAATGATAATGTTTCACATTCACAAGTCCCTCTATTTTTTCTGAGTGTGTAAGCCCTGCATTTATGGCTGAAATTGTAATGCTCGGAGAAGCAATCTTGATGCTAATTAATTGGGGATACTATGAAGTTGAGATTGAAGGTGATTGCAGAAGCTCTATGTCTCTTATCTCAAACAATCCCTTAGCATTGGTGGTGATCGAAGACGTCAAGAAAACAACCATGTATTTTTACCCTAAAATGGACCTCTAGAAAATGTAACCAAGTTGCTTATAGCCTCACAGTGTTACCAACCAAAGGTGACAGAGAATGAGATTTGTTTGGTTCAATTTTCTGAAAATAGAAAATAACTTTTAGAGAACTACAAAAGAGAATCATCTTAAATTAGGCCATTTTGGATTTTATTTATTTATTTATCATAATTCTAACTTTCGATTATACTAAATTTAGAATTTTTTTTTTTTTTTTTTTTTTTTTTTTTTTTTTAAGTTATCATAGTCCATAACATTATTTTCAAAGAAAATCTAAACCAAGCAATCCCACAAGTCTATAAACACAAATTGTACTGTTTGTTTCAATTTTTTGAAAATAGGTTTCGAGAATTCTGAAAAAAGAAAATAACTTTTGGAGAACTACAAAAGAGAATTATCTTAAATTAGGCCATATTTGATTTTTTTTTTTTAATCATAATTCTAACTTTTGATTTACACAAATCGTACTGCTTGTTACCATCAAGGTTGTAAGACAGAAGTGTCTACTCAATTTTCCAAAGTGGAAGATTGTGACTTGAATAGACAAGTTATGTGGGATATTTTCAAATTAATTGTCTAATTAGGATTATATTCCTCTTGAAATAAATAAAGATGGTTGGTGTTTTAAATTTGAAAAGATGTGTATTCATCATGGATACAACCTTCACCTTTCAAAAAAAAAAAAACATCCTAATGAGGCACAATTTTTCTTAACCGATAACTTTACTGAGTAAAGCAAAGGTGGAAGACAAAAGCAAATATATCTTTCAATAAAGAAAAAAATAAAAAACCCAACTCTGAAAAGAAAAGAAAATAATAGAAACAAAATAAGGAGATTATATATTAAATTACTTCGAAGAAAATGAGTATTAGAGGGAAAAAAATAATAATAATAACAGAGTGAAAAAAATAGATTACTGGGATCTCTGACGGTTCCATGAACAGTGTATCCTTTGGAGAGGAGAAGCTTCACCAGCCACGAAGCTATATAGCCTCCGGCTCCGGTCACACACACCCTCTTTTTTTCCGCCATTAACGCACATACACAAACCACTTAATCTCCCACACTCCTTGTTTTTAAATATTACTACTTGCTGCAAGGAAAAAGTTATCCTAATCTTTCACTTGTCACGGCCCCACTAAAATTATTTAATTTTGAAAAGATTAATTTCCCGTAATTTGGAAAGGTAGCAAAGTCAAATACTACAAACAAACAGAAATGCGTAATTAATTTCCATGGTCAAGAAATGGACAGATCAACAACCATGTTGATAAAAGTCACAAATGATAAAGATGGTGCAATGGACAGGCCGGCAAACAAGAAGCACAAATATTATTGTCATAAAATAAATAAATAAAATTATTACCAACAATTATGTTAGAGTTAATTTTCAATTATCAAACAATAAGTTTATTAGGGGAACTTTATCATGTAAAAGTTATTCTAATCCAACTATTTGAGAAATCATTGCTAAGAAGAGTTGGGATCATTTGTAGGCTTGTTGTACCACATCGAATAATTCCAAACACTTGCACGTGTGTGATTTCAACTTTATCAAAAAAAATATATATGATCCTAATCTTATTAGGACATAAAAAAAGTACAAATGAAAAATTGACGCACGACAAATCAATTGTTACGTGATTGAGAGATAAAATATAATAATTAACATAATGAGGAATAATATTGTTACTTGATTAGAGAAGTATTTTTGGACAGAAAAACTTTTGTCCAAAAATAATTTTTTAACAATAACTACTAAATATTTTTTAAAAAAATTAAATATATGAATATCATATTTTCATTTTGTTCTTTTAATACTTTATTTTTTTTTACTAACTCTACTGACATTAATTTTAATTATTTAAATTCTTATAGTATTACCTATAAAAGTGTAACTTCTCCTAATCCACGTACTTAAAAAGATTTTCTTTACACATCCCTAACAATCATTTCCCATTGGTTTAAATTCACATCCTAAGCTTGTTTCATCTCATGCTTGGATGGATAGAAGGATTTTAATTTGAAGATTGTTGGTGGTATAATTTGTAATTTTATTAAAAAATTGGCAAAGAAATGAATTCTAAAATTTCGTGGCTGAACGGCGTCACTCTGTTGCCATGTCTTCATATCGATCTAAATCACAAAACAGAAAAAAACTGTAGAGTTCAAAACCCTAGCCGGACAAACAAAAAAATCCACCCTAGAAGAATCGATTCACCTTGAATCTCCATATATATATATATACACACACATACACATATATATTCAAATGTCAAGCGGTTGGAGAAGAACGTTGGGAAATGTGAGGTCTTTCATAGGCAATTCAACGGGAGGTCTGAGAGGAGGAAGCAATTTGGCCTCGTGGGTCGTCGCTGGAACCCTAGCCTACTTCCTTTGGGTCAAGCCCTCCCAAGAACGCAGGAAAGAACAAGTACTACTCTCATCTTTCACCATTAATTTCATATTTCATACTTTATAAGTTCTTGATCTCAATTAAAAAACATATATATTCCATTGATTTTAATGTTCTCAATTGAAAAGTGTGTTTTTTTTTGGGGGTGCTAATTTCAGGAAAGGGCAGCTTTGGCTGCAGCTGCGGACCCAAACCGCTACGTTGAGAAACGAAAACCCATTCCTGATCCTCAGGTTTTAATTAGTATTACCACTCCCAATATCTTTTTATAATGTATATTGACTTATAATTCTCTAATTTTAGTTAAATTGTCAAATTGGTTTTCATTTCTGTATAATTATTTCCAGGAGACTGGTTTGATATATGGCAACAAGAACAGAAGTAACAAATCCCAGGAATGATTTAAGTGAAGTTGCAAAACCATCTGCAAGTTAGTTTTGTCGTGGCAAAATTTTATGCCCTTTTGTGGATTTCTGTGTTAAACTGTTGAGTCTTATGAGTATGTAATATTTACATCTTTAAGATAGCGGAATTTCAGTTTACCAATTGTGAATTTATAGTAATTAAATTTTCGTACAAGATATTTTTTTTGTGTTGTGCTTAGAATGAGTAGCATGGAATAAAATGTGTTTATCAAATGAAATGGATGGTTTGGGTTTCCGAGATGTTTGAGTCTTCGATGACCCAATGCTTGCCAAACAAGGTTGGCGTCTTATGACTAGAGGAGCAACTTATTTTTTGGAGTTTTTTGCTCAAAATATTTCCCCAACTCAAGCTTTTTCTGGAGGCTGGTGTGGGGAGAAATCCTTGGTGGGCTTGGCGTAGTTTTTTGGCAGCAAGGTATTTGTTACTAGAGGGATTGTAATGGGAGGTGGATAATGGGGAGAAAATACGGATTTGGAATGATAATTGGTTCTCTGGAATTAAAGCTTAGAAGTCTTCATTTCAAGATCCTACTGTCACAAAGTTGCTCAGCTTATTGATCAGTGTTGCATGTTTGGAAGTAGCCTTTAGTGAGGTATCTTTTCCCGCTGAGGTGAGTAATGTCATTCTGAAAATGACGATAAACATCTCTGGAAATGATGCTAAGCTAGTGTGAGGATTACCCTAGTAATAGTGATTTCTCTGTGAGGTCAGCCTATCTTCTTGGAATAGAGCTAAAGCAGAATCGGGAAAGGAATAATGCTGACAAAGGAGGGCTAGCATTGGTTCTAAGGTCTGGAAGTCGATTTGAGCTTTGAAGGTTGAGCCAAACATTTTCTTTGGCAGTTGAGTCTTGATAGAGTGGCAGTGGCAAACTCTCTTCATAGACGAGGAATTGATGTGGACTTTATTTCCAAGCTTTGCTTCAATGGGGTGGAAGCTATTGGTCATTTGTTTTTAGAATGTGAGAGGGCTGTGAGGGTGTGGAAGTTGTCTCCTCTCCGAATTGATTTAGAGGTCCAATGTGCAGATTCTTGGGGAGAATGGTGGTCTGATTTGTTGGCAAACTGTGGTAAATATGATAATTGAGGTGAACTCATGTGCTTGGCTTTTTTTGGAAATCTAGAAATGACTGAGTATTGAATCACAAGGGTGGTCAGATTTGGAGGTGGTAAAACAATCGGTTGCCAATTCTTCGAATACTTTGATACTCAAAAATTGTGCTTTATAGGGCAGTCTTGTGGGTCTGTTCAGAGGAGTTACTGCTCTTGGTGTCCTCTGGCTCTAGGGTAAGTTAAAGGAAATTTTGATGCAATCTTTTGCCAATCTTACAGCGAAGCTGGTGGAGGTTTCTTAGTCTCAGACAGCGGGGGTTGTGTTCTCCTGGTTGCTTCATTTTTTCCTTCCCCATGGTTTCAGACACGGCAACTGCTGAAGCTTTAACTTTTAGGAGGGCTATGTCATTCGGTTTCTGCGTTATTAGCTGAAGCTGTTACTGAGATGTGATACTAAAGCCCGGGACCAGGTAGGGATGTTACCGCCAAGCAGGCTCGAATTCCAGGTTTATCAATCGAAGAGAACAAGAGCAGCCCGAACCTTTATCAAAGATAGAGCAAGTCTCGCCTTGGACCAGTCCAGTTCAGTGCTTGTTAAGATCCAGAAATTGATTTACACGGTAATATCCAAAGAAAGGCACACTTGAATTGGGCTTCTGATCTGAATGGAAAGTGATTCTTGCGGATCCCGGTAATGAAATCCCAATCCAGTGAACGCATAGAGGCAGTTTTGATGTCAACTAATCTTCTTATTCTCCAACCCCCGTTTGCAGTAGTTTTAATGACCTGATTCCCGTGTTCGATGCTTTATGGGCTTTCAGGACCTCTCCTCGATCTGCCACTGGCATCTCACCTTTCACTCTCTTTATGGTCAAAATACAATTCTACCGGCACTTGCTCCTTTCCATCGCTCTGTGTATATAAAGAAGTTCACATTCAGTAACATCTGAACCTTCCACTTTCATAACAGAAAGGAAAGACTATCACATGCTCCGAAAGGCTCCTGGAGGTTCATGGGACTCTGGGTGTGCTTCACAGGTTCAAAAGAAGGGTCCCGGCAGTGGCTGTGGTGGTTTCAATGAGCAAGGGATTGTAGGGAGAGTCCCCTTTGAAGTGGAGGATATCGACTAGCCTTTGAGGTTATAGGGAATCTGAGGTGTCGAATCTCTAGTGTGTCACTTCAATGGGGCCTCCCGTGTTGATGAATGTGCCATGCACGTAGTAAGCTTGACTTATGCATCTACCAGCAAGGTGAATGCTCCAAACTGTATGACTCTTAAGTCTCTAACCATGCTAAGGAAGGTACTGACAGTGCCATTGCTACTGTAGTTCCTGGTTCTCCTCAGGAAAAGATGATTGAAGTGACTATTGAAGAAGAGGGCAGATAGATCTGGAGAGGATATTCAAGGAAAGGAGCAGCCCAACAAAGAAGCCAAGGCCGAAGGAAAACTGCCAATCAAAAGCTTATCTTCTAATCTGGGAACCTTCTTGTTGTCTTCGATCCATCTATATGAAGTTCGAGACAAGGAATTCCATTCTGTGTTGACTCTACCAGATAGAATAGAATTCTATTCTTGTGAAACTGAAAGAAATGGGGGCTAAGATTGCTTATCCATTTGGAAAGGCCAATCTCATGTTCAAATGCCTTACCGAGTAAGCATGCTGCATGAGGGAGGAAGGGACTGTAATTCTGCCCTAATCTGAACTACTTCATTCTCAGAGTCGAATTGGGAGGCTTTGTCCATGACTTTAGTGTGAAGACATATCGAAGATTAGAGTGAGGCTGAGACAGTCAGCTCAACATCTACGTGCCAAGAATGAGAGTGATGAGGCTAGCAATTGCAAAGGAGTTCCGAATATAACAATTGCATTTGGAAGGTGATACTCAAGTGGTAATCCGAGCAGTTCTTGATGAAGTGGCTATTGTTGTGCAGTGGTCACTAGTCATAGATGACGTCAGATCTATGCGTTCAATTCTCCAACCGAAATTTATTTCATATGGTCCTAGAGAGAGCAATGGTGTGGCCCATAAGGTACCTCAGGTTGCTTCGATGAAGAAATCTGATAGCTGTTTTGTAGATAGAATTCATGTATGGTTGAGGGAGGCTCCGTATGTTTATGGATTTCACTCGGTGAGTTTATTTTATAAATTCTCTCCCTCTTTGCCAGGGGAAAAAAGAAAAAGGCTCGGCTATTTGCATACCATTTTTGTATCTCTAAGTTAATATTGACACATATCGACCATGCAGGACAATCATGTGAACTAGTTTTTAACTTTTTTATTCAACACAGGAATTATTTTACGTCACGATGTCCCGTGTTCATTTATTGTTTATCGAAGTGTGACATACTGACATTATTAGCATACCATTTAGACTTGCTGGTTAGGTCTTATTTCTGGAAATCTTTCTCATTTGTGGAATAAAGAAGAGAATTATTTGGACACAGCAAGAGTGGCACACGGTAGGAGTTGCTTATTGCCTGGAGAAAAAATGTTTACGGGCTTTTCTGGGTGGACAATGTTCAATCATATGCAGTTACTGAACTTATTACATCCATTTAGTGTTATGGCTTCAGTTCAGACTATGTCACGAGAAATCAGACTTCACCTGTCTACCTCTGTCTTGGTGACTTTGGGTATTGACTTAGAAGGCTTTGAGTATTGACTTAGAAGCCGATTCTAGACCCGCATAAAAAAAAAATAATAATAAAATAAAATAAAAAAATGATTTTCTTCATCATCTTCCTTTCTCTTCCTTGGTTGTGATGATAGCAAAATTGATTAATGATTCTTTAATTTGACATATTACATTATTATTTTCTTAATTGATACAAAAAATAAGATGGAAATTTGAGGGAAATGATATTATAGTATATGATTACGAGGAACCATTTCAACTTTGATGTCTGCTGTTCATCTTGTCAAAGCTTTGAACATTGTGATTGTTACAAATTGAGTCAGAAGCCAACTTGCACCAGGAAGTCCATCTGCTATTGATGTTGATGTGATAATTATCTAAAATTTTAACCTTTTTCCTATCAACACAAAATTTTTGGGATTATGTAAGCAAGAGGACAATTTATGAGATTTTATTCACGACTTTTTCATGAACAAGTAAGCCAAGTTGAGGTGTTTGTCCCTTTCTCATTGAATAATTGAGTTTGAAACTTTTATTCAAATTCAATCCGAATTTTATCGAATCAAACTCGAATTGTTTGTAAAGAGTTTGGTCGTGGAAAAATATTTATATGTTTGTGATATTTTAATTGATGTATAATATCACTAATTAATTGAATATTGACATGTAATAATAAGACTCACTAAATAAATTTTTTTTTTCTTTGAAAATAGATAACAATGTTAGAAACTCAAAAAGTTGTTATCTAAATTTCAACCTGAACACAAAACTAAATCAATTTTTGTTTTTTGATAAATTATTTCGATCATTGATTTTGAACTAATTATTAATAGGCAGGTCCGTCAATCAACTTTCTATTAATTTTATTCACCTTCTTCAATTAGAGATTGGTGGAGACTAACATACAATAATTTCTCCTGATTTTATCCTTGGACTTTGACAAAGTAGGCTCCACTGAGTGGGGTCTCGATCCCACCTGTTCAAAAGACTAATTAAGTATTGTGATATGGTGATTGGACAGGTCAGATGAGATTGCCATGTGGAAAATCTTGATGACATGGCAAGGTTTGGTTGTCTTATTGGCAATGGCCTCTGTGTTCAAATTTGTAGGGTTAGGGCACAAACAGGGTCCACAAAGCGGGCCCATGAGATGATATGATCACATGTTGTGGACACCCACACACAATCCTGGTCCATTCCCGCCAGATACCCCAATTAATTTTCCTGATTTCTTTTGGTCCCCCAACCCCACGCTCACTTGTCTAACTGGAAATCTAGTCACGTGAATCAATTCACGTCAGCTTGTCCACCCATAAATTGCATTTTTGGTCGCTGCTTTTACCAAACAAATCTTTGGAACACACTCAAAATTCATACTTAGGAAAAACTAAATTGTTATTTTCAACTGACATTTTAATAAATCCGACCTTGTTTTGTGAAAAATGAACACATATTTGAAGTGTCGTGAATAATTTGTTTAGTACCGAAAAATAAAGAAGTAAAGAGTAATGAAGATAATCTTTTTTAAGAAGAAAAATGTAACAAGACGACAAATAACATTAGGTAAATTGTATAATTGATTGTCTTGACAAAACAGTACGCATGCACTATTATAAAATTATTTTTTGCAACTTGCTTATGCTTTTCAATTAATAATTAAGACATGTAGTGGGTGCTCGGAATCATTTGTCAAACTTATATGAACCCATAATTATTTTAAGATAGTGGCCTTCATTCAATGTTTCTGGCTTTGATTTGTTTTTATGGGGCCTGTGTGTCTCCAAGATCTATGCATGAATTATTAATTTGTGTTTTTTTAGTATTAGATTCTCAGCATTAATGAACAAATTCAACCTTATAATTTTATAGTTATATATGTTTACATGTCATATATATATATATATATCTATATACATATATATAAACCTATATTCTTGTGTTTGAAAGAACCCAATGCAATATGATTTATGGAACAAGAAGGATGTTTGTAAGGTAGTTTATTATTAAAAAATTGACATTTAATCAAGTGAATTTAGAATCAGATAAAGAGTAGATTATATGATTTTTTTTATTTTTTATTTTTATATTTTCACGAAGACTAGATTATGTGATTGGTCACAAACTTTGTATATACTAGCTTGTCTACGCGTGGTTTAGAATATTTACAATTGAATAACAAATAAATGGATAAATTATTAAATGTGCGGTTGTCAAACTCATCTGATCTAATCATTACAGAAATAATTTCATATTTGCTCGACTCTTTATGCTATAAAATAATGGATTCAGGTGAAATCAGTCATTTCAAGACTCGAAACAATGGATTAAAATTTTTGTTTTTATTTTTTCATTTTGTTACCATCACCCTTTCGTGGACTATTTAAAAAATTAATTAAGTCCTATAATTGTTATTTTAAATGAAAATTCAGATTATGTATGAAGAAATGATATTTATATTATAATATGGTCTGTAATATGTAAGGTGGACCTAAAGGTATCCAATGTCCTTGTTACGGTTGGATTAGATATAATAATGAATTAAGAACGAAGTTATCTTTGACACCGATCATAACTGATTGAACCTCTTTTTTTTTTTTTTTGTATTAAATTAAAAATTTTAATTATGAAAAAGTATTATATACCCACTAATTTGTACACAACACTTTTTCAATCCGAATTTCGCGTTCAATAAAAGCTAAAAGATTCAAATACCTTAGAAGTAAGACTGACTATAAAAATTGGGATGTGATGGAATTGGCATAAAAACTGGAAGACCTGGGAGAGATGCTGCATTAAATTTTGCTCATAATTTTCTCCAATCAGAGGGTCTACATTCATATATATGTGTGTATATATATATATATATATATATATATGTGCGTGTGTGTCCAAAGTCCACTTGGATGGTGTGTTTAATTCCTGATTAATGAGTTGGATGCTGACCTGGTTCCATGAATCTTCCATTCTGCTTGGCCTTTGGCCATTTCAAAGGTCTCAAGATCTGTGAACGTTCAAGCATATAATATGTATATAATATATATATGGCGGGTGCTTATGTCACAGACCAATTTTAATTCACCATCCAATGATTCTCCCCCTTTTGGGGTTTTCTTTCTTGTACCCTTTTTTTTCTTCTGATTTATTACTTTATTTAAAGTTTTTAATTGTTAATAAATACCAATAATAAAACGGTTCCTAATTTTTGACTCCATCTCAATTTGCATCAAGTCGAGTTTGGCGTAGATCCTTTATACTACTAACCTACTATTAGAGGGTTTTTGTCTTATACTACCTAATAATATATATATATTTGGTTATATAACAAAATTTTCAATCAAACGTCTTCTGAGTTCTGAGTCATGTGTTCTTTAAATAAAATTTACTTTAAAATATTTAGTATATGATTTATTGCTACTGTAAGGGTAATTGACTAGTCACAGGTGTTCGTGTGAGTCCTTACGAGAATTCGGTCACCTAGACTTCACAATCAATACTAATTACGTACTTTATTCGTATTTATCCAACTATTTTAGAAATGAGGAAATATTTTTTTAATTGTCTCTTTTTATAAATCTAACTTTTTAAAGTAGTAATTAAAATTTTTTTTATTTATTGTGTTGTTAGTAAATGAATTATTAAATTTATACATGTGATGATTTATTTTTTATAAATTAAATATAAGAATGTTAAATTAGTAATGTTATAAATAGTAATACATGGACTTTTCAATTAGGATAATTATTTTTGCTAAAAATAGAAAAATGAATTGGAGTGACTATAATTTAAAAAAAAAAATAAGTCTTGTATTTTTTTTTTTTTAAAAAAAAAAAAAAAAACAGGAGGAGGAGTGACGGCAAATGGTTGGGGACAAGTGGACAGCTTTATCAAGGCGGACAGAGTTGCCGCAAAACAGGCGGGTTTTCAGGGGCTTCGGTTGGAGTAGCAGTTGATTGATAGAGAGTAGTAGTGGCAGTAGATTAAGATAGGGTTAACCAAGTTTCGATGTCCCGACAACCTCCAAGTGGCTGACACCAACACCTCTCTCTCCACACTTTTGCTTTGACTCGTTGACCGCACGTGACATCTGCCAACCACACACCTGTAATGAAATTGCCACCGCTAAAACCTATACTGTACACGTGTAAATCATTTAATAATTTGGTAACTAATTAAACACAATACCAATTAATACAATTATTAAACCAAATACTCACACTGAATACTTCACTAAATTATTCAATCAAATAATTTTTAATTGATTATTTATATCAAATACAATTGAGAGAAGATTTCACTTTCTTATTTGCTACATAATTAACCAATTAAAATAATAGGTATAATAATTTACTGCAATAATTCAATTCAGAAATCATTTCTTTTATTAGACACATGTTTAAAATTTTAATTTTTTTAAAAACAATCATTACCCATTTTCTCAAAAGTCAAATTGAATCCCAATATATATTTTTTTCTTTTCCAAAATAATATGATTATTTTTATACCCAAATTGAAATTTATTTAAAGAATGTACTATATCAAGTATCGAATAGCGGAGGACTATGAACTTAAAATATTATATGATTTTTTTAATATATTTATTTCTTAGTGAGAGTTAACTCATCTTTTGCATTCCTCTCAAGTTCCCAACACCTTTAATTGATAGGTCTAA